CATGCTCAAACGGGATATTATTCGACCTTCATCCAGCTCCTGGTCGTCTCCTGTGGTGTTGGTCTGGAAAAAGGATGGCTCTGTCCGCTTTTGTGTTGATTACAGAGCGCTCAATAAGATCACGAAAAAAGACGTATATCCGTTGCCACGCATAGATGATGCCCTGGATTCCCTACAAGGCGCAGAATATTTCTCCAGCCTCGACCTCCGATGCGGGTATTGGCAAATACCTATGCGCGAAGCAGACAAGGGGGAAAACAGCGTTTGCGACGCCTGATGGGCTTTACGAATTTAACGTCATGCCCTTTGGCTTATGCACTGCTCCAGCAACATTTGAGCGCATGAAAGATACTTTCTTGCGTGGTCTTAAATGGAAAACCTGTTTATGTTATTTAGACGACATCGTCATTTATTCTTCTAATTTTTCTCAGCACCTTAAGCGTTTGGACGAAGTTCTAACGTGCATTTCGAACGCTGGCCTACAGCTCAATACAAAAAAGTGCCACTTCGCCAGCACAAGCATCAAAGTATTGGGTCACCTTGTCAGCAAAGACGGCGTTCGACCCGACCCCGACAAGGTTGCTGCCGTAATTAGTTTTCCACGTCCGCGCAATCAAAAACAATTGCCAAGTTTCGTGGGCCTGGGGTCTTACTTCCGCCGCTTCATCCGTCACTTTGCTGCCATTGCGGGGCCGTTACACAAGCTTCTGACGTCAGGGACGGATTTCACGTGGACTGACGAGTGCGAGTGCGCTTTCCAAGCCCTTAAGCGTGCTTTGACATCAGACCCCGTCCTCCGTCACTTCGATGAGAGTGCACCCACTTTCCTGCACACAGATGCCAGCGGCCACGGAATCGGTGCTGTCCTCCTCCAGGGCGACGACACTTCACGTGAGAGAGTAGTTGCGTATGCCAGCCACGCACTAACACCTGCAGAGCAGAACTACTCGATAACAGAGCAGGAATGTCTCGCTGTCGTTTGGGCCATCCAGAAATTTCGACCTTATCTGTATGGACGCCACTTTACTGTGGTTACCGACCACCATGCCCTATGCTGGTTGTCCTCGCTGAAGAATTTGTCTGGGCGCCTCGGTCGCTGGATACTGCGTTTGCAAGAGTACACTTTTGACGTTGTGTACAGGTTTGGCAAACAGCATCAGGATGCTGACGCTCTCTCTCGCTGCCCTCTGCCACTTTCATCTCCAACCACGCATCCTAAATGCCCCTCAGGTGATCAAGCGGCTTCCTCTTCACTCACGTTATCACCCATGGCAGTTGCTGGGTCGCTACCTTTAAACAACAGCGCCCAGTTTGCCGCGTACCAACGTGACGACCCCTACTGTAGCCGCATCATCGGATACTTGAATGGCTCGCCTTCTCCACCTAATGCCAGACTACGTCGTCAGCTACGGCTGTTCAAGCTAGAGAACAATGTCCTGCAGCACTATACTTACAATGCGGATGGGCATCGGTGGGTGCCAGTACTTCCCCGTTCGCTGCGAAAACAAGTTCTCGAAGCATTGCACGACGACCCATCAGCTGGACACTTGGGATTTCAAAAGACCTACAACCGCGTTAGGAGCCGTTTCTTCTGGCCTGGTCTTTCTACCTTTGTGGCTAATTATGTCGCTTCTTGCACACTTTGTCAACGCCGGAAACGACCAACTTCAGCTCCTGCTGGCTTATTACAACCAATTCTATGTCCCAACACACCTTTTGCCGTTGTCGGAATAGACCTCGTCGGGCCACTTCCCGTAACGCCAGCGGGCCACCGCTGGATCGTGACAGCCGTCGACCACCTCACACGATACGCGGAGACTGCTCCTCTACGCACCAGCTCCGCCTCAGACGTTGCCGCCTTCTTTTTAGAATACATTGTGTTGCGTCATGGTGCACCTCGCACGTTGTTGAGTGACCGGGGCAAGGAGTTCATATCGACAATTCTGGACGAAATTCTAAAAACTTGTGGCACACTTCATAAGACCACATCCGCTTACCACCCGCAGACAAATGGGCTGACAGAGCGATTCCACCGGACTCTAATCGACATGATATCCATGTACATCGGACCGAACCACGATAATTGGGACAAAATCTTGCCGTTCGTAACATTTGCACACAACACCGCTGTTCAACGAACCACCGGGTATTCACCTTTCTTCCTCGTTTATGGTCGTGCGCAGGCATTCACCATTGACGCCTCTTTCTTCAATGTAATGACAAAAACGTCGACGACTACGCCAGAACATTTCGTCTCCAGGCTTGCTGAGGCACGGCAACGTGCTCAACTCAACACGGAGGCCAGTCAACAAAACCGCAAGCAACGCTATGGCAGCTTTCGTCGAGACGTCACCTTCCGTCCTGGAGATGAAGTACTACTTTGGACGCCTGTTCGCACACCCGGATTGTGTGAAAAGTTTCAGTCTCGCTTTCTAGGACCTTACGTTGTTTGTGAACGAACATCTCCGGTCAATTACCTTGTCACTCCCGTCGAGGGTTCCTCGGACCGTCGTTACCGTGCCTCCGAGATAGTCCACGTTTCACGTCTTAAACCCTTTGTGCGCTGTACCTTTCCCGCCTAAGTCTCGGCTGGGCCGGCCGCTCAAGTGCGCGGGGAAAATATATATATATATAGTGGGAGTAATAATTCAATGGGCCAGTTAGTCTTCGTGAAGGTATGGGATATGGCACAACGGGAGCGTTGTCAACAAGGATAAATATATTTCCCAACAGTTTCGGGAGGGGTCCTCCCTTCATCAGGGGATGAGTTATACTGACATGAATTTCCAAACTTCGTTGCTGCCGCGTCTCTCTCGCCTTGAAACATGTTTGCGAGAGTGAGAGGGAACTAGAAAAAAAAAAGAAAGAAAAAAAGTAGAAAAGAGGAAGAACCACTGTCAACACTGAGAACGAAACCAACTGTCCGTGTACGTCCACATACGTTTCTTATCACGTGCTGTTCAGTTCTCGACGTGTGTCGGGCCACCCAAGATTGTCGCCGCGGTGCCGGGAAGGTCCGTGACGGCGTGCGTAAAGAGAGGGTTTCCCCGTAATGGGTCGGTCGGCGTGCGGCATGCGTAAAGGAAGGGTTTCCTGTTAATGGGTCGGTCGGCTCTTTTTACCTTTAATCTTCGTCCGTTTCCCTTCAATGGTCATCAAGTGGTAGGCGAACGAAAACACTTTGTATGTGCATGTGGGAAAAAAAAAAGAAAAAAGGAAGAAAAGAAAAAAATGAAGAAAAAACGAAAACAAGAAAGGACAGTGTACACGTTTGAGTCAGTCAGAAAAAAGCATGGTCTCCAGCTATCAATCTTTGTCACCAAATTCCTCCTGGCTTACTTCTCGGAGGCAGTTGAGTTTTCCGGGGTCCTCGTTGATGCCGGCTACTAATGTTCGAAATTTGAAAATAAAATATGCCTCACGCTGTTCGGGCTCGCGTCTGTTTGAGAAACCGGACTGCAAAAGAGTTCTCAAACAGACGCGAGCGCGAACAGCGTGAGGCATATTTTATTTTCAAATTTCGAACATTAGTAGCCGGCATCAACGAGGACCCCGGAAAACTCAACTGCCTCCGAGAAGTAAGCCAGAAGGAATTTGGTGACAAAGATTGATAGCTGGAGACCATGCTTTTTTCTGACTGACTCAAACGTGTACACTGTCCTTTCTTGTTTTCGTTTTTTCTTCATTTTTTGTTTTCTTCCTTTTTTTTTTTCCACATGCACATACAAAGTGTTTTCGTTCGCCTACCACTTGATGACCATTGAAGGGAAACGGACGAACGAAGATTAAAGGTAAAAAGAGCCGACCGACCCATTAAATATATATATAGTATATATGTATTTTCCTGATGAAGGCCAGACTCTAGGCCGAAACGTCGAAATAAACCACGTTGTGACCACTCACGGGAGGATCTACTAGACTATATGCAACGCTACGGCCACTCAACCACCATGCCTGCCTATATATATATATATATAAAAAAGCCCGTCTTGTTCTTGCCCCCATCAGGAAAACGGAAACTGTTTGCCTGTGAATGCAGCGCTAAGCGATTAGCTTTTCGGGACTTCACGCTTTTTGGCTGCATGCTGTTTTCACTGCTTGTGCAGTGTAGAACATAATTCACAACTGACGGTCTTTCAAATATGGACCAATCACGTGCCTTTCCTTACGACATCAGGTTCACAAGCAACGAAGTTTGCAAATTCATGTCAGTATAACTCATCCCCTGATGAAGGGAGGACCCCTCCCGAAACTGTTGGGAAATATATTTATCCTTGTTGACAACGCTCCCGTTGTGCCATATCCCATACCTTCACGAAGACTAACTGGCCCATTGAATTATTACTCCCACTATATATATATATCATATATATAGTCACGAGCGAAAGTCGTAAGTAACTTCAGTGCTCTAACTAGTTAATCAGTGGGCATAATTTCTTCTAAAATGTTTGGCAAAAAATGTTTTCCTGATGAAGGCCAGACTCTAGGCCGAAACGTCGAAATAAACCACGTTGTGACCACTCACGGAGGATCTACTAGACTATATGCAACGCTACGGCCACTCAACCACCATGCCTGCCTATATATATATATATATATATATATATATATATATATATATATATATATATATATAAAAGCCCGTCTTGTTCTTGCCCCCATCAGGAAAACGGAAACTGTTTGCCTGTGAATGCAGCGCTAAGCGATTAGCTTTTCGGGACTTCACGCTTTTTGGCTGCATGCTGTTTTCACTGCTTGTGCAGTGTAGAACATAATTCACAACTGACGGTCTTTCAAATATGGACCAATCACGTGCCTTTCCTTACGACATCAGGTGACCAGATTACTGGTTTCACAAATTGTGCTAAAGAAGACTGGAAGCTCCAGGAAGAAATAGCATGCTCATTCTTTGTATTTTCAGAGGTTGTTTAGGATGCCTTCAAGCCTCAAAGTGTCTCAACTGGGGTCTCTTTCTCTCTCTCACTTTTTCTCCTCGCCAGCATTTGTGTAAGAGCAACAAGGTGCACGTAGAAAACCATCCGGTGATCCAGCTCGACTACGTGCCTCAGACCCTGTTGATCTCAACAACCAAGAGAACCGTAATCTGCCACTGCGGGAAGGACGGCGTTAGAATTGTCCAGCTCGGCAGTCACGAGCGAAAGTCGTAAGTAACTTCAGTGCTCTAACTAGTTAATCAGTGGGCATAATTTCTTCTAAAATGTTTGGCAAAAAAATTCGGATGAGCGACGTTTTCTTGTGAAACTCAAATGTTACGTTAACGTGGGCTAGTGAAAGGTGTCAACAGTGGCCAAACATGGGTGCTTCGTTGCAGAGCCATGGTCGTCAAAACATCGGCAACTGACAGAGATGTTTATTACTAACAGATACTGCTCTCCTGGCGTTTACAAGTACTGTTGAAATGTCATCTGCGGTTCAGTAAGGACTTGTCAAGATGTTGAACTCTAATAGCGATATCAGAAAAGACGTTGACATCTGATAAAGACAAGTTCCTTGCTGAAACCTTATAACTAGCTGATAAGGGATTTGCCTAACGTCAGTAACTGACAAAAACGTTGCATTTGGCAAAGATGACGGCTGCTCCCCTACAGGGACAGGTCCCCTGTAGAAACTCTGTTTCCGTCCTCTGAGGCTTTTGTCACACGGAACAGCGGCCAAATGGGGGAGAAAATGAGAGCATGTGGTATAATAAGCGACTTGCTAAAGTGAACTTTCACGGAAAGACCTTGCTGAGAAATGACATGCACGTTAGATTCAAGCACGAAATGAAAACTAGAGTAGTAGTAATAGTCTAATAGCATTTGCATGAGACGTTTCTCAACTGCACTGCAATTCCCTTGTCTTTGCAGCCGTAGTTTCTGTAGCGGCTTCGCATCTACTCTATCGATTGGACTGTGACTTCTGAAAAATAGCAATTTCGAAAGAAAAAGATATGTAAAGAGCTGAATGCTTTTTTTGCCTTTTTTTCTTTTTGCAGGAATAGTAACTTTGGAGCGTGCTTTGCGCCTCCACAGTCGTACGGTGAACGGCAGGTGACCGTCTGGGCTTGCCGACCGGGTATGCGGCTTTGGAAGGGCACGCCGAATGGCGTCGTTTTAGAGACGTTGCTGCTTCGAGACTCGCTGAAGCAAGAATACTTCCAACCACAGATGCTGGGCTTGCCAAAGGTAAAACCAACTGGGATTGGGCTGTCGCTCCACTGTAATATAACCAAAAATACTTAGGAGAAAAAAGAAAAAAAAAAAAGGAAGCCCTGGAAAGATCTTTTGTCTTTCATGTCCTCCGATTTCTTCTGAACATTCCACAAAGTACTTATGTGCACCGATGTTAAAGTTACATTAAAAACGAGGCTTGTGCCTGCTCGTTCATTCTTGGTTTTGATGCCGGCTGTTTATCTGATCTTGTGGCATAATGAATGCAGTGTTGCTCTTTTAAGTAATAGGGAGGGGGGGTTGCTTCTTGGCTGTGGTAGCGGCATTTCTATGGGGGTGTAAAAAAAAAGTCATGTGCTGAGGTTTAGGTGCATGTAAAAAGCATCTAGGGGATCACCGCTTCAAGCCACGTTGAGGCTTTCCATATCTTCTAGCTCTAAAGTATTCAGACTATCACTATTAGACAATACTCGGACCATTCCCGTTATGTCAAAATATTCAGATAAAAATATTTTGATTATGACTGTGCCAAACATTGACCATTTCTAGATATGGCAAAATATTATTTCAGATGCATCAAAATATTCAATCACTTTCGAAATATCCAGACCACTTCAGGTAAATTGAAATATTGACTTCACATGTGTCAAAATATCAAAATTATCACTCTGTGCAGAGCGTCATTGAAGGACAGGTCCGCTTACAGCGGTAAGAAAAAAAAGCCAATTTCTGAAGGAAATTTAGTTCACCTTGTCGATGACGTATAAAAGTCCTATTATATTCCAGTATTGACCATTGTCGCTCCAAAGTGGGCCAATATTGCAGTATCTCTTCTCATTTAAACATGAAGGGGTTAATATCGGTTAAGGATTATTGATGGTATTCTGAGAAAATTGGGGTTGTTGTCTCTTTGCCCCGAGGAATCCTTGCACACTTAATTACGAACATACACAAGTAGTTTTTCATGTCCATCTTTGACATGACACATCGAGAACAGCTCCCTGAACAAGAAGATGGAAACATTGACAGTTTCACAGAAAGGTTCAAAAAAACATTAATGTATATCCAAAGTTAATACATGTATGGGTGAATTAGCAACTCATTGACATATAAAAGAGTGTTTTTCCAGTGTTTTTACTCATTTTCTCGCGTGTCTTCCTCTTTAGGAGTCGTATCTGGAGAAGCTCCCGGACTCCCAATTTGGACTGTTGAAGCCGTACCGGAAGCGCCTGCTGCTGACATGGAGCTCGGAGACGTTTTTCGTGGTGGACCCCGCCGTGAGGTCCCTGGCGGTCGTGTGCCCCGGCTTTGTAAATATCACCGACGTCGCTGTTTGCGGGGAAGAGATCTTTGTGCTGCAGGCGAAGCGTCACATTGTCAGGCTCGCCGCACACCCAGAGGACATATGGGACCATCCTGAAGAAGGTACTCCTTATAATATTGCCATTGTTGTACGGTGCAAACATTGTTGATTCAGATGTCTCAGGACTGGCAAAAATGTCCGTATTGACCAAATGTAGAATTATTGAGGACATTGAGAAGGCTATAAACAAATGTCTGTTATTACTATATAATTTTATTTTTGAGGGGAATACATAACTACTTAGTGGAAAGCAGTGTAAATAAAGAAGACGAGAAAGATCATGCAAGACAAGCACTGACTGTTTGAAGGCTCAGTGCTAGTGATGTTTGGTGTTTCATGTCTTTGCTGTTCGCACTTTTTTAATGTTTGCTGTTCTTTGCCGTTCGCACCTATCTTAACCCTACCGCCACCCTGCGGGTTTGCGCAGAACTTTGTGGCGTTGAAGCAAGCCCTGATTGAGAAGGCTATAAACAAATGTCTGTTATTACTATATAATTTTATTTTTGAGGGGAATACATAACTACTTAGTGGAAAGCAGTGTAAATAAAGAAGACGAGAAAGATCATGCAAGACAAGCACTGACTGTTTGAAGGCTCAGTGCTAGTGATGTTTGGTGTTTCATGTCTTTGCTGTTCGCACTTTTTTAATGTTTGCTGTTCTTTGCCGTTCGCACCTTTCTTAACCCTACCGCCACCTTGCGGGTTTGCGCAGAACTTTGTGGCGTTGAAGCAAGCCCTGATTGAGAAGGCTATAAACAAATGTCTGTTATTACTATATAATTTTATTTTTGAGGGGAATACATAACTACTTAGTGGAAAGCAGTGTAAATAAAGGAGACGAGAAAGATCATGCAAGACAAGCACTGACTGTTTGAAGGCTCAGTGCTAGTGATGTTTGGTGTTTCATGTCTTTGCTGTTCGCACTTCTTTAATTTTTCCTGTTCTTTGCCGTTCGCACCTATCTTAACCCTACCGCCACCCTGCGGGTTTGCGCAGAACTCATTTGCAATACTTGTTTTCTATTGTAAATTTGTGCCAACAAACTCAAGTTCGCACATTTTTAACGCACATCCTGTTTTAATTAGAGTAGTGTAAAAGCCCAGTTTTCGTTATCTCACGATTTCCATCACAATATGACCACAATGCAAGGCCCTCCTGTCTTGATATACTAATAATGTTCTCCGCTCCTCTCTATTTCTTCATGCTACCACCATCGCCAACGTCAACACGTGCTTGTGATGATATTAACCTGCAATATCGCCGGTAACAGATTGTTCATCCATCATAATGTAACAGGCGACTTTTTCGTCTGCATGCAGATTGCAGTTGAAATGCTTTTCATTGTTTAAAACAGCTTCCACGATGTTGGAGGTTTGTGAGACTATTAGGCTTGTGTGAATATTCGAATGCTTCAAATATTCGAACAACTAGTAGGGTATTCGAATTCGCTTCGGTTTGAATTTAAATTATTGAAAATTTTGAAGTATTCGCAAGGAACGAATAGATGCATATTAATCCGAATGTACCGCTTGTAGAGGTAGTTTCACTGCAGTTTAGGGGTGTTAAACCGTGAAAACACCTAATCAAAAGACATCTGCTTTGCCGCGAAGCCCTCATACAAATTTAAAGGGGCCCTGCAACACTGCAATAGCATTGTCAGAAAATGCTGTCAATCAATAGTCGAAGCTACCAAGAACATGCAAGCCAAATATTACAGTGCAGCACGCGGCGTGCGATTCACAATAAATTCTCGGACTCGGATTGAAATTGCTCTCTTCTCTTGGCAAATGACTCCACAAGCTCAGAAAGCACGGGTGACGTATTCTTTCCTCGTGTCGTCTCTCCCTGCTTAGCTTCCAGGGCTTTCGTCGAGACAAGAAGAGAGAATGCACTTGCAGCGTGCGAGAAATATTTGCAACTACGTGCGTACTGGACGCACGGAGTTGCAAATATTTTTATGCGCTATTTCTATATTGCAATATTTCTATATTGCTATTTGAGGAATTAGAGAGCGTTAAGTGGGATGTAATAGGGCTCAGCGAAGTTAGGAGTACACGTGAGGCTTATACAGTGCTGAAGAATGAACACGTTCTATGCTACCATAGATTAGTTGACAGAAAAGAACTAGGAGTGGGGTTTCTCATACACAAGAATATCGCTGGCAACATAGAAGAATACTATAGCATCAGTGAGAGGGTGGCAAGTATCATAATTAAGTTTAACAAAAAGTACAAGATGAAGGTGGTGCAGGCCTAAGTGCCTACATCGAACCATGATGATCATTTGGTTAAACGCTTTTGTGAAGACTGTAGAGTCAGCTATTACTAAAGTAAAGCCACAGTATACTATTCTTATAGGTTACTTTAATGCCAAAGTAATCAAGAAACAGGTCGGAGACCATACAGTGGGGGAATATGGCATCGGCTCTAGAAATGCCAGAGGGGGAGTTATTTGTAGAGTTCAAAGAACGCAATAATTTACGAATTATGAATACCTTCTTCAGAAAACGGGCTAACCGTAAGTGGACATGGCAAAGTCCTAATGGCGAAACTAAAAATAAAATTGACTTCATTCTGTGTGCACACTCAGGCATTGTACAAGATGTAGAAGTAGTTGGCAGGATTAGACGCAGTGACCATAGAATGGTAAGAGCTCGTATACACCTAGATTTAAAAAAGCAAAGACAAAAACTTACACGCAAGAAGCCAGTAAGTGAACTGGCGGTGAGTGGAAAAATACAGGAACTCAGAGTTTTACTTCAGAATCGATTCGAAGCACTAAATGAGATAGCCGACGTTAGCATTGACACAATGAACGATAATCTTACTAGTACCATTAAAGAGTGTGCAATTGAAGTTGGAGGTTCAGTCACTAGACGGGAAACTGGCAAACTATCTCAGGAGACAAAAAATCTTATTCAAAGACTACAATTAATGAAAGCTTCAAATGCAACCGACAAAATAGAGCTAGTGGAGATTTTGAAGCTGTAAAAAGCGGCAGAAGCCTAAAAGCTGCAAAGGCAGTCTTGTGCATAGGCAAAAATCGGATGTATGCATTGAGAAACAAGGAAGGCAATGTCATAATCAATATGGATAGGATAGTCGAGATGGCAGAAGAGCTCTACAGAGAACTGTACAGAAGTCAAAAGAACCAGGATGGTATTGTGAGAAACTATAATAGTCCGAGAGAATTCGACATCCTACCAGTAATGACAAGGGAAGTAAGGAAAGTTCTCTAGAAGGAATGCAAAGAGGCAAGGCCGCTGGTGAGGATAAAGTAACAGCGGACCTCCAGAAAGGTGGCGCAGAAATTGTGTTAGACAAATTACCCACCTTATACTCAAAGTGTCTTTGGCGGGAAGGGTACCAGAATCTTGGAAGAACGCCAACATCATCTTAATCCATAAGAAAGGAGATGTCAAAGACTTAAAAAATTACAGGCCGATCAGCTTACTCTCCGTTCTCTACAAACTATTTACAAAAATAATAGCTAATAGAATTAAGACGATATTAGAGTTCAGTCAGGCAAAGGACCAAGCAGGATTTCGTACTGGCTACTCCACAGTAGACCATGTTCACACTATCAATGAGGTAATAGAGAAATGCGCTGAATACAACCAACCCCTATACATAGCTTTTATAGATTACGAGAAGGCGTATGACTAAATCGAGACATCAACAGTAATGCGAGCACTACAGAATCAGGACGTAAAAGAACCATGTATAAACATACTGGAAGAAATCTACAGAGGATCCACAGCCACCATAGTTCCCCATAAAGAAAGCGGAAGAATCCCAATAATGAAGGCTGTAAGGCAGGGAGACATGATATCTCTAATGCTATTCACCTCGTGTTTACAGAACGTATTCAGGACCCTAGACTGTGAAGAGTTAGGGATAAGAGTGAATGGAGAGTACCCTAGTAACCTGTGATTTGCTGATAACATTGCCTTGATGGGTAAATCAGGGGACGAATTACAGTTCATCATTACTGAACTGGACACGGAAAGTAGAAAAGTAGGTCTGAAAATTAATATGCACAAAACTAAAGTAATGTGCAACGATCTCGGCAGAAAACAGCACTTTGTGATACGTGGAGAGGCGCTGGAATTTGTAAAGGAATATGTCTACTTAGGAAAGGTAATAATCGCGCAGCCGAACCATGAGATTGAAGTAACTAGAAGAATAAGAATTGGGTGGAGCACATTTGGCAAGCACTCTCAAATCATAACTGGTAGATTGCCACTGTCCCTCAAGAGGGTATATAACAGTTGCATCTTGCCAGTACTTCCCTACGGAGCAGAAACCTGGAGGCTTACAAAAAGGGTTCAGCTTAAATTGCGGACAACGCAGCGAGCGATGGATAGGAAAATGATTGGTGTAAACTAAAGAGACAAGAAGAGAGCAGAGTAGGTCAGGGAACAAACCGGGATTTAGGATATTATAGTTGAAATCAAGAAAAAGAAATGGACATGGGCCGGACACGTAGCACGTAGGCAGGATAACCGGTGGTCATTAAGGGTAATTGACTACATTTCCAGAGAAGGCAAACGCTCTAAGGGGAGACAGAAAGTTAGGTTGGCCGATGAGATTGAAAAGTTCGCAGGTATAACATGGCAAGGGAAAGCTAAAGACCGGGTGGATTGGCGGTATATGGGGGAGGCTTTTGCCCTGCAGTGGGCATAGTCAGGCTGATGATGATGCGTACTGGACTGATTCTAAAACTTTTTGCAGCGGTCAATTCATGAGAAAATAACGTTTAGTGAATCCAATCCATGGCTACTTGAAAGTTGGACGGCCCCTTTAAATGAAAATATTACCCTCAAATTAATTCATTTTATTAAGCTTAAAAGCTTGTTATGACTGCTTAAACAGACAGTGTTCCAATACAAAAATACACAACACTTTATTGCCCTTGGCGGCACTTCGAACAACAGTACAATGTCCGCTCCCGGGATGCGGGGAGCAAAGGCACCCGCACGCGGACGTTCACAATAAGGGGAAACCGTGAGCACGTCGCAGCTGGCAATGGCGAGCTTTGACACGCCGGTCGGGAAAAGGTCCCTCGCGGCTATGCTGCGCACTCTCACGATGGCCACTGGGCCTGGTCGCGAGTGTTAGGGCAAACCTCGTACGCGTAGGCTTACGGCAAGTGCGGCTCGGTGTGGTACGACCACTTCAAGCACTAGGCACCGCTGTGGGCTTAGCGTACGCTACCGAAGCTAGCACTCAAGTAAACACGCCTACCGAGGTGCCCAAGGCCACCCCAGGCAGGCTACAGTCCGGCGATTCCCAAAGGGGACGCGGACGAAAGAAAAAACGTGCTTACCCAGCACCGACCACGGAGGAGAGAGCGAGCTCCCGCGGTGCGCACGTAACACACGCTGCGCCGGCACGTGGCGCCATCTATCGCCACGCGCCGTTACCAGCAGGAAAAGCAAAAAGGTGTGGCCGTGTGGTGGAATGCCCGGGAAATGGTCGCGGGCGTGCCTCCAATTCCCACAATGCTCTACGTATAATAAATTTTAAAATGTTACGTATTCTAAGGGTTATGACTCTCATCCTGCTGAAATTCAAATCCTGCTATTACTCATTGTTTCGACTTTGAAGGAAAAAAAGAAATGGCATTTGCATAGAGGCCCTATTTCAATTAAAAAAAAATTGTGCAGGTTAGTTAGGTCATGATAAATATGCCCATTTTTTTTTATGTGTCATTCATATTACTCGAATTCGATTAAAAAATATTCGACCAAAATCACTATTTGCTTCGAACCTAAAATTCGCTATTCGCACGAGGCTAGAAATCATGCATGTATTGCACCAAGTCAAAAAGGTGCTCACGTGGCTGTGTCTTTGAAGGGGCCCTACAACACTTCTCCGAGTTTTCGTCAAATGACTTATTGAAGAAATTCATTTTCTCACCAATTGACTACTTCAAACATTTTTAGAATTTGTCAGGTATGAATGGAGTTGCAAGGATTTGTTGCATGTTTTAAAAAGTGTGTTCTCTCTCCCTTCATACACTCTAACTTTGGTATAACAAACCAGAATATAACGAATTATTGGTTATTACAAAGTGAATGAAGAATGACTCTGGCACAGGTATGGTGTGCAATACATATAAGTTCATAACAAATTTTGGGATATAATGAAGTATTTCCATGGCAGGTGTGACTTCGTTTCAATGAGGTTTAAGTGAATTAGCAAGTGTGTTGAAAGCCTGGCAGAGGGGGATGACAAGAGAGCAAGAAGCTACGTCCGGTTGTCAGCGTGTGTCATTTATATTGAGCACTTTAATTTTTTTCCTTCTACGCACGGCTGACTTTCAATGTGATTACGAGCGTGCTGGCGGGATTATAATGTGGGTTATTCTAGCACTATAGAGTGGATCGCAGACACGTTGAGGTACAATCCGTTGGCATCAATAACTATGCAGCTGACAGCGCTCTAGTCAGCCAATGGCTGTGGACTTTAAGTTTAAGACACAATAATTTCGGATTGCAGCACCATTTCTCGAAAGAAGACTGAGTTATTCCTGCTGATTTGAAAAATTAATTGTGAATTTCAAGCTGCATGTTGCGCTATAATGTTTGACTCACATATTCAGCCTTGATAACCGATCGGCAGCATTCTCTGACCATGTTCAAAGAGTTTCCCCGGACCCCTTTAAGATGAAAATGTCTCTTCATTACAGACAACGAAATGCGGCTTCCTGACATGACAGCCATTAAGAACACCATCGTCACGCCGCTGGCCGAGATCACGGCGCTCCTCCGCGACACCCGACTTCCTGACCCTCAAGTGCTTCAACTTTTCAAGAACACAAATGGAAGTGCAGTTCTCGACTGGTTCCGGCAGAAGGCACCCAGACTGCACGAAAGCGACAGCGGTGGCAGTTCTCCCAGCGGCACGGTGCGGCGAGGGAGCACTGCCAGCGGCAACAGTCGCGTCGCCGAAACAGCATTGGATGCCGAACAAGTGTCCAGTACCGAAATGGTGGCCACACAGCCCGGCGATGCTCTGTCGTCTGTGCATCGGTCAAGGAGCTTTGAGTCCATGCAGTTCCCCAATGAATCGGAGGATGAGGAAGACATAGTGTTTACTGCCAGAAAGCGCAAACCCAAGCATGGTAAGTCAGGTGGAATTTGGCGACAAAACTACTGCACTTAGGGGTGCCTTGACCTGAAAAAGCTTGTGCAGTAGATTAGTAATCTCTTGCACCTGGTAAACACACCAAACCTGAGCTACTTCCTGTGTTTTATAGTTTAGATCAGATGCGTGACATCGTAACGTGGTAGCTTCGTAAGTGAAATGCGATGCTGCTAACTGTGAATACATGGTCTAAACTGCTGGCCACAGTGGCTGCATTTTGACAAGGGCGAAATGCTTGAGCATCGGTGTTCTTATTCTTACAATTAGATGCGCATTAAAAAACTGGAAGGGGTGGCTCCGATAATATCACGGAGGACGGGAATATGACTGACACTCCGGCTGCAGAAATGGGATGACTGCTGCTACTTCCTAAAATCACAACCTTGATCATCGAAACACAACTATCAACATGATCCAGGCAACAATGATAACAAAGCATAAGTGAAATTTTGCTGGCGTCGAACTGCTGTTGCCTTCTGCAATTTTGGTAGGGGCTGGAAGAACTTGTATTGCTGGGACGATAGCCTCCGAGGCCAGTGGGTGTTTTGCCACTTTGCTGCTAGAGGAAGGGCGCATGTGTCGTGGCGTCGAGAGAAAGGCGGATTGAAAGTACACCTTTATTTGAGAAAATTTTGCTCATACTATTATATCATTACACTAGCAACAATTTTGTAAGGGATAAGTTATTTACAAATTATAAAAGTTACATTATATTAGTGAATATCCATCTCCTTGAGAGATTCCTGTCTTAAAGACTATGTATCCGATCTACAAGTGAATGTGAATGTGTTTTCTGAACTCGTTTGAATGTAAATTTAATTTTCATCTCATGGCATTAGTTTTCCTGTGCGACAGCAAACAAATTACTTCTCTAACCAATTATATTCTGAAAATGACATTATAATTTGTCGTGCGACAGGTCCCTCTATACAAGGTTGTCCTTGCGATGTACACTTCAAAATATGCTGAACCAACGCATCTAGTTAGCCATTCTTACACGTGGTACTTCCAGGTGACAGACGGTGTATGTACCATCAATGTGAAGCAGCATTCTTTAAAGGAAAGTAGCGAGCAAACAGTTTGCGAGGGAGGGAACGTAAGAGTGCCGAGTGACGATTATTGTTGCGTCACTGAAAAAGACCCCAGTTTCTTCCTTTTTATCGATAGTGTGTGCGACTCTCACTATGGCTGTCAATTCCTGCTTCTCTTGCTTTTCCTGATTCCTGATTTTCTTGCTTTTTCCTTTCAGGTTCGTCTACAAATGCAGCACGGAGTATACCCACGCTGGTTGTGCCAGCATCTTCTGATGAACGTCCGTCTCCCGTCCCCACGTATGACGAGGTCTTTGCGAGCCCCAGCGGTACGTCCCCCTTGGACCAGAGCACGTTAAACAAGGAAAACAAGAAGTCCGAGTGCCCGCCACCGTACAGTGCCTCCGAAAACGAGCTCGTCTCTCACATTCTCAGTCGTTACGGCCAGCTGAAACAGCGCCAGCGTAGTGGCGAAGCTAGCGCTAGCCAACCCTTAGACATTCCCGTCAGCAGTTCATTGGCGCCTAACGACTCTGACAACCTCACTCCTTCCCCGGCTTCGGCATCGAGCGGAGCTGCCGAAACCAGTCCCGAAGACGGCGCCGGTGCGGAGAATGGCAGCGGTGCTGGAAACCCAGAGCCCAAGGACTGTCCGGATTTGGAGCCGGAACTCTCCATTGAGGACATTTACAGTAAGAAGAAAGATGCGACCGATTCGTACGAGTCGGCGGAGTCGTCTGTGCCTGACGTTGTGTTCCATGGCATTGTGGAGCCGCGCTTTCCACGCTACGACTTCCACTGGGCCCAGGTAAGCTTTGCTACCTCCTTGTTGCAGGTACATTAACCTTGAAATGTTTGGTGATGTGTCTAACAGACATTTGCCAGGTAGGTTGTTTATACATTCTGCAGGCATATTTTCTGTTATCATGTCAAAAATATAGGTGAACCCACAAAGAGCTAATCCGGTGTTCCGCTACAGGTCGATAACCGTTGCGATTTGTCTGCTTTCCTCATGTGCTCCTCTGCAGGTCAAAGGGCCGGGGCCAGTGGTGTCGCTGGCGGCGTGCGACGGCTACCTCTGTTGCGTTGACAGCCGAGACAATGTGTACTACTCCCGGCTCATGGGACGCGAGTTCACGTGGCGGAGTGGGTCAGCGCCCTATGAACCGGGTGGCCCTGTCTCCAGTCAGGCGGTGTCCTGTGGGCGATTTACAAAGAGAAGTTGTACGCGGCACGTTCGCCCTTGTCCAGCGAACCCCTTGCCATGGGATGGGACGAGGTTGCCATGAATGTAGTCAGCGTAAGCGTCACCGAGACCACAGCCTGGTAAGGCCATGCTTTTGTTGCCATAGCTGTTGTACGGATAGTGCAACTATGTGCATACAGTAGAATCTCGATGATATGATTGCGGTTGATGCGAATTTCACCATTTTATGAATTTTAAGGTTGTTTTGGATGGAGTATATTACAGTGTACACCACTTATAACGTAAGTCACCAGAGTTGTAAAAATCCATGCTATAAGCGGTACCGTGTTATAACCATAAACATGATTTTTTTGGATTTCGCCAATGCCAAAAGGGCAACCCACTTTTTAAAAGCAATTTATCATACTTCTCACTTGCGGACACATTCTACACAGTCACAACACAGCAGCAAGTTCCCAAGTCCGGTATCAACGAAAGAATGCCATTATTTTTGTCTGGTGATGCTTGAGGACAGCGCTTCGCACAATTTTGTCCTCGACACAGCTCAAGCCCGGAAGCGATTTCTCGCTCAAATTCTTCTTCGAGCAACATCCTTTCACTTTTGGGAAGTATTTAACACGTCTTTGTACGGGACATCGAGTTCTGGCATCGGGACGTTGTCGTCCTCGCCGTCCAACTCGTCATCGGTTGCAAGCTCCGCACTACCGCGCATCGCTGCGACAATCGCGTCAACTGAGGTCGCTTCGTTGCAGACAGGTAGCTCCGACTCCCCGGCATTGACAAAGTATTGGAAAGTGTCGGTTGCGGTTATGAACTTGCTGTCAACAAGGCTGGACCACATGTCGTCAGTGTTGACAGTCTCATCGGCGACATTGTCACACAGCCACTACTACACGGTAAACAGAGAAGCTCACACGACAAATGCCACAAGGCAAAAGATGGAGACTGAAAAAAAAAAGTATGCTGCTGCCACCGCTGCTTTTGTCTCGCATTCCAAAAGCATGCTCCCTCCTTCTTTCAAGGTCTCTCTTCCTCCCTACTGTACCCTCTATTCTTCTCCTCTATGTTTGCCTTTTCGCGGCTGGCAGTTGGCCTCCACCCGTGCATTCCAGTTTGCTCCCGCCTCGAACATGCCAGTGCGGCGGGAAAGGGGGCTCCGTTTGGCGATTTTATAGACGCGTGCCTAAAAGTCCGTGTTATAACTGGTATTCTCCTCCGCGCGTCTACGCAATAAACGGTCTGCTTATGCATTGAGTTCAATGGGTGATGTATCAGTGGTCAGAAAAACCCACTTAATAACCGGTCTCGTGCTAAAAGCGGGACCGGTTATTACGTGGGTTACTAGTGGTCTGCACTGTATATAAAATACGCCATGATTTGGTGTTATATGAATGGTCTCCCCAGCCACCGCATTTGATGCGATTGTGCATTGACCGCTGCACGCAAGCAGCGCAACATGACCCGTCGGTTGGCGGAAGGCCCGTTTATTTTTGGCCTCGAAGGGAGGGAATGCGGCAGAACTGGCTAGAATTTTTCTCGCTTTAGTGGCCGAAAAACACGCCGCGAGGCTTACTTGAAAAAATCGGTCTAAGACCAATTTTCCCGCCACGCGATAGCAGATCGTCTTTTTGCTTCACGGCTTCGGCTACACTGGCTGCTCTAGCAACTCTAGCTCTCAAACCACACCGGAAGTAGAAGTTGCAGTAGCAGCGAGTCAGCATGCCCTAACGTGTCTCTGTTTTGCACTGCCAGCTGAATCCGTCACTGCCTTTGCGTCCACTTGTGTTGTTTCTGTTGCCTTATCTTCCAAAGCAACGTTTGTACAGGTGCAAACTGTTTTTTTTTCAGTGTTTTACATGCATAACTAGAACTCGGTACAAGCTTTAGTGCTCGTGAAACGATCAAAATGGAATGAATTAGGAAAAGGCGATGGTGGTGGCGACTGTGGCATCTACAAGGGGCAGAACGAATGTGAATGTTTTCGATGGGCGCGAATGGGTTTTCCTGCAGCTCTACCATTTTCGTATGAATTCTGTAGAACCGATTTTTTTCTTGTCAACTTCACTGCCCAGTTTTCCGGCCGCTTAAGGGACGAAGCGAGTGAAAGTGAACTCCTTTTGATTTCAAGTGTGAACGCTCCACACCAAAAGTATCGGTAAGGAAACCGCGGCACTTCATCGAAAGATGGGGAAGGCAGGAAAGTTCAAAAGAACATCATGCGCTTTTTTCAGCAAGAAGTAATTGCCGATAAAGTTCTTGTTCATCTTCATTATCAGCTTTAATTTTTTTTGGTTCATACAAATTCGGGATGATATGAATATTTTGTGTGCTCCCTTTGAATTTGTATCATCGAGATTCTACTAGTATAAATACAGAGGTCTATATTATCAGGGGGCTCCAAACATCAAGGTATGTATATGTCATTATGTGAAGAGTCTACAATGAATTTTGCAATTCCCTGAAAGCTTGTGTACCCTTCAAATGTGTGTGAATTTATGGACACTTGCCTTGCGTGTGAAGGAAAGATTTCGACAGTGAAGTGACAGAATGCATAGCTAATGTCATTTCTTAGCTTTATTTGCCCCGCCGCGGTGTTCTAGTGGCTAAGGTACTCGGCTGCTGACCCGCAGGTCGCGGCATTGAATCCCAGCTGGGGCGGCTGCGTTTCCGTTGGAGGCGGAAATGTAGGCCCGTGTGCTCAGATTTGGGTGCAAGTTAAAGAACCCCACGTGGCCAAATTTCCGGAGCCCTCCACTATGGCGTCTCTCATAATCATATGGTGGTTTTGGGATCTTACACCCCATATACCAATTCTTAGCTTTATTTGGGTGATCCGCTCTGGCAGCGTTTAAGGCATTATGCTGCCAAGCTCAATGATGCAGATTTGTTTCCTGGCCACAGTAGCCGTGTCTCGATTGCACTCAAACCTCGTTATAACAAATTTGAGTCTTACAAGAAAATTCGTTCGTTATATTCACAAATTTGTTTAAAGGTTTATTCCTAACATTTATAGTTATTGCAAGACTATTTTTCACTTTGTTATAACTGGTATATAGTTATATCGTGGTTTGAGTGTATATTGACGCATAGCTATAAGTGCTGCCATAGCGCTGTTCTGATATGAAAATGCTGTTTCTCCACTGTTGCTGTTATGAAACTGTATTATAGAAGCAGTGCTGTGTGTAGTGTCTCTCCCTCTCTTTTGTTTTCTTTGTTGTCCGTTTCGGAGATTGGCATTCACCAACTGCCCATACTCTCCATACTGCCATGAGCAGTGGGCCTCTTCCCACCAGATTCCTTGTCGGTTCATGCAGGTACGTGACCGGTTCGGGTTACGTATTCATGTGCCCTGACGTGACAGTTCAGGGCAAACCGGTCACTTTCTACGGTGTCGGCTGCTTCGTCAAGGTGCAGCAAGTTGCTTGCTACGACGACGTTGTCTGGGCGCTCACGACACTGGACACGCTCCTCGGGCGTGTCGGAATCTCGGAAAAGATGCCTCAAGGCACGGGCTGGACTGAAATACCGTAAGTTCCATGTGTCTGGAATGTGTTCTGAAGCAGTGCGATGAAATTTGGGGCCCTGCAATAGAAGGCAAATAGTGTATTTGTCTGTTGGCGCTGCCTTCAGGTTGCTGCCCCTCGCAGCACCTGTATGTATGTACTCGGGCATAAGCTACACAGTTTTTTTCATCAAATGTTGCCTAGCAGCAGGTTACAGTAGAATCTCGACGACACGATTACGGTTGATGAGAATTTTGCGATGATATGAATTTTGAAGTTGTTTTGAACAGATTAAATTATATAAAATACACCGTGATTCGGTGTTATACGAATGGTTTCCCCAGCCACTTCGAATGATACGAATGTGCGATTGACCGCTGCATGCCAGCCGTGCAACGTGGCTTGTCAGTGGGAGGAAGGCCCGTTCACTTTCGACCTCAAAGAGGGTGAATGCGACAAAACTCCCCGAATTTTCCTCGCTTTGGTGGCCGGAAAAACATGCCGCGAGGCCAATGCGAAAAAATCAGTTCGAGACCAATTTTCCCACCACGCAACATAGTATCACCTTTTTACTTCATGGCTTTGGCTTCACCGGCTGCTCTATCTTTCAAACCACATGATGTCAACAACCTGCCCGCAAATCAACATGGCGGCGAAGACATCGGCATTGGGTCGTGTCGGCGCTATCGTGAACTACCGTATAATGCGGAATATAGGTCGAGGCGGAATATAGGTCGACCCCCTTACCTTGACCAGCAAAAAAAAAAAAGAAAAACGCGGAATCGTTCACTGCTTCACTTTAGTCAGTCCTCACAGTCCTCCGAGCTGTCGGAGCTCTCCGACGACGACGACTGCTTGTCACTAGCCGCCTCCCACAGCATGTCGTCCTCGGTGCCGTCGAGAGCGTTGCTGATGCAGCACTTCTTGAATGCGCGCACCACCATCTCTTCAGGCAGAGACCTCCATGCCTCGGAGACCCAACCACAAACTGTCGCGAGAGGTGGCCTGCGCAGCCGGCCTGTCGGGGTCCGCGGGTTGTCGCCAGCCATCCATTCGGTGTACAGCGCACGCACACGGTCTTTAAAAGGTTTATTGAGGACGACGTCCAACGGTTGAAGTGTTGATGTCATTCCTCCCGGAATGACGACAAGATCCGTCCTTCCGTCGCGAAGGCTCTCCTTCACCGATGCTGTCAAATGCCCGCGAAATGCATCCAACACGAGCATGTTCCGGCGCTGCAGGAGGGCTCCGGGCCGCCGGTTCCACACTGTGCGGATCCATTCGCGCATTAGGGCCTCGTCCATATACCCCTTCTCGTTGACGCGGACGACGACATCCCGCGGGAAGGCCTCCTTCGGCATCGTCTTCCGCTTGAAGATTATGAAGGGGGGCAACTTTCTGCCGTCGGCCGTGCAGCAAAGCATAACGGTGAAGCGCGAATGCTCGCTACCGGTCGACAAAAGCCTCACCTCTTTTGCCCCGCGTTCACAAACAGTCGTGGACGACGGCATGTCAAACCACACCGGCGTTTCGTCGGCGTTGCCGATCTGGCCTAGCATGTAGCCATGCTGCCGCCGGAGGTTGTTCACATAGAGTTGAAACTCTATCAATTTGTCCTCGTACATCTCCGGCAGCTTCTGGCATATCGACGTGCGCCGTCGAAGCGCAAATCCTTTGCGTCGCATAAAGCGACGGACCCAATAAATGGATCCCTTGAAGTCTTTCTTTGACAGGCCGGCTTCACGGGCGAGCTCGACGGCTTTTGAGCGAATGAGCTCCGCATTCACGGGAAGGGATTTGGCACGGTACTCGCGGACGAAATCCGCCACTTTGTCCTCGAGTTCCGGGTGCACAGCTCGGCGACCGCGAAACGACGTCTTCCTCGCGTTACACACTGACAGTTTGGATTTTTGGTTGCGCCAGTATCTGACGCTTTTCTCGGACACTCCAAACTGCCGCTGTGCCGCCATGTTGCCATTCACTTCCGCGAATTCTATAACTTTTCTTTTAAACGCGGCGGTGAACTGGCGCCGCGTCCCGGTATTCATAGCTGGTCGCAGAGTAAAAGTCGCCACTCTCTACGAACACGAAATGAACAAGAAAAGAAAAATGGCGTCGGCAGAGGCGTCGGCCCATGGAGGCGATGTCGATGCTGATGCCCAAAAAACATGCGACACTCCCTGTTGCCAGACGATCACTTTGTTTATGCCAAGGGCCGGTATATAGGTCGAGGGGTGACTTTTTAGCGAAATTTTTTGGAAAAAATCTCGACCTATATTCCGCACTATACGGTACCCGCGCGGCACATATAAGCTCACGGCCTTGACAAGGACACGTTCATCGAGAGTCTAGTTTAAATTACGATAGCTGATAACACTTTAAATAGAAGGTGCAGCAGCAGCGAGTCGGCTTGCCTAAACGTGGCTTGCTTTTGCACTGCCGGCTGAATCAGTCGCCGCCGATGTGTCGGCTTGTGTTATTTCGGCTGGCGTGTCTTCCGAAACAATGCTAGTAAAGGTGTAAACTGTTTCTTTTCAGTGCCTTGTATGCAAAATTATAACTCGGTACGAACTTCAGTGCTCAGGAAACGTGCAAAATGGAATGAATTCTCAAGCGGCGATTGCGGCGGCGGGGGTGGCATGTATACGAAGGGCAGAACGAATGTGAACATTCTCGGCGGGTGCGGACGTGGTTTTCCGGCTGCGCTGGCATTTTCGCTTGATTTCTCCAATGCGAATTCCCCAGGACTTGTATTTTTTCGTGTCGACATCGCCGCGCAGTTTTGCGGCTGCTTACATGGGGAAGGGAGCGAATTTCCAATGAGTTTGGCCGCTTTCGCTCGCTGTGATGTCAACTGTGAACGCGCTGCACCAGCAGCATGAGCGAGGAAACCGGGGCACTCAATTAAGAGACGGTTAAGGTAGGAAAGTTCAAAAGAACATCACAAACTTTTTTTTTTCAGCAAGGTGTAGTTGCCAATGAAGTTCTTGTTCGTCATTTTTATTAGCTTTAAGTTGTTTTTGGTTCATACAAATTCGGGCTAATACGAATATTTTCTGCACTCCTTTCAAATTTGTGTCATCGAGATTCTATTATACACGAACCTGTCCTATACACTCAAACCTCATTATAAAAAGGTCACACTTGCCTCGAAAATATTTCATTATATCCAAAAATTTGTCATATACAGGTTTGTTATATTGAGGTTTGAGTGTAGATACACGTTGAGTCACTGTAGTGCCTCTACGATTACTGCGTTGGATAATTCAGAAACTAGGTTGGGCTGTCGCATTCATGCTAATCACTGTCGGACAAGCTCACCTCGTTTTTGCCCTCCAAAAGCTGATAGCTTCCTGTGCCACTAAGCCCTCTGTGATAGTGTTCATTAACAATGAATTCCACGTCTCCCTGATTGAAGGGCACACTTCAGTTGCTTTTTGTTTTCAATATTTGAATCCCGAAGGGGGTGGGGCTGCGAGCTGCACACCGGGAGGGGGGGGGGGGGTTGTACATGCATATATCGCAGTTCAGTTGGACATAGTGCTGCACTGTCTCTGGCATTGAAAAAATGAATGTTTTTTATTTAAAATGGCCACCAGGAGATCAAACAATCCGAGATAAAAGGTGAAGTTTTATGTAGCTCAATTCATTTAAAATTTTCATGGGCAAATATTCAAGAACCTCGCTTATTGGAAAGAATAAGTTAAAGCTGGGTACAGTGAAATTGATAAATTCACGAAATAATTTTTTTATAAAGGGAATTTCATTATATGCAGGTTTGGTATAAAAATTTGAAAAGTAAACGCACAAATTAAACAAAAGGAAACTTGAAGACAGAGCTAACCCAAAACAGTTATTCAGTGGTAAAACTGCATTATTATTGCGATAGCAATTATAGGGACACTCTTGGCAAGCTTTTGCGGTTGCCGCCATGTTCTGTAAGAAGTCCAGAATGATAACATGCCTTTGCTCATCGTAACTTTTAAAAGCAGGTAAAAGTGCGCTAGTGCTGCTGATGCAGAGATCAAATGAACCGGCCCACCTCTATCGCCTGGAGGGTGCTTGTGATAATATCTGCTCGCATGATAGAACTGCCTTTGCAGGCTCAAACAGAAATAAGGAAACCATCTGTCTTGGATGGGTGTGAAGAAACGCGGGGGGGGGGGGGGGGGGATCAAGTAACATCGGTGAACTTTGATTTTAAGGGCGCGGCCACTGTCACACGTGCTATCTTGGCAAGCATCAGTGCGCTTTCAATACAAAGAGACTGTGTGAAAAGAGTACTTCTCCCTCGAGCGGCTGTATTTGCTTACGCCAGCGTTTTGTTTGAGTTCCGCGATATCGGATCCAAATGAGTTAGCTGCCAACCCTACTTCGTGTAACATTATAATTTATTGCTATCGCATTCATTGCATTGCATATAATGTGGCTTCGTGTACTCGCCAGCGATAATCTACTACTAATTGCAATGCTTACGATCCCGTGAACTCGCGGCGCAACACGAAAGTGCGCGATGAGTCAACCTGTTAAGATCCATTGTTGTCACTGTGGTCTCAGAGAGTTTCATCAGCACCTAATCTGACATACCCTTGGTAGTGAAGACATGGTTGTCTGCATTTAAAAAAAAGAAAAAAAGGCTGAACGTAGTTGGAGGCCACACCATGCGTGTGCGGCATCAAAAACGAAAAGCGAACAACATGCATTCTTCGGAAATGATCGTTAAAGCGCTGTCTATATGCAGCGTGACCCCACGTAGGTGACGCTAACTAAATCCGTGGCACTGCCAACTCTAAAGTACCTTTCTTTTTTTTGGTTTGGAGGGAGGGGAAAGGCACATCTGCACACGTGCCTGCGGCGGCAAGAACGGCGCCAACGCCAGCTCGTGGGGCACAGGCCTGCCTGCTCACCTCTGGTAAATCGGCGCACAATAATGAGCGCTCTCTCTCTCCTGGGAGTGGCCGGGGCCACAAGCGCGTCACTGCTGCTTCGTGCTCCGTCGGCGGTGGGGCAACCGCAGAAGATGCACACTTCAAAGTTAAATGAGCAATTTACCGTTGCCTCAATAAATTGTATTTTAAGTTCAAGATCATGTTATGTTAGCTTATGTGTACCAACTGTAGTAAATTTGAAAACGTAATTTCTTTTACTGCTTATAACTTGAATATGAGTTCTGTTCAAATCTTACTTCTGTTCAAAGTTGCTCACACTTCATTTCAAAACAAAAAAGTGGCGTTCGTGTGTGCTTAGTTCCAATTCTTAAAAATATTGTACCATGACCTAACCATGACTTAAATGTTCATTTTTCTTAATATATACTATTCAAATTGCTTGATTCCAAATCGTTTAACAGGGTCTGTGTTTTCTTTAAATCCTGTTTGAACTCCAATTACACTACACTCGCACTTCAATATAATGAACTTAAATATAACAAATATAGGTTATAACAAAGTCAATCAAGAACAGCCTTGCAGTAGATATACACGTAGTGTTAGGAATAAACCACTCATAACGAATTTTTGGATATAACGAACCTGTTTTCATTCAAGATGCAACTTTGTTATAATCAGGTGCGAGTGTATTAGCCTATCCCTAATTTTAGGTAATTGCTTTTATCGTATCACTCTGTTTGTCCTCTCATAGCCTGCCATCCAAAGGAAGCCCCGCCTGCATTCACCTGGGATACAACGGCACGGGCTGGCTCATTGATAGCGAGGGGAGCGTCTTCTTCAAGACGAACCTCAAGAACAGTGTCCCCTGGCGGCTACAACAAGGAATGGTGGCAGGTGAAGCGAGACATTCCTTGATGTCTTTCACTTTTCTCAGTTTTATTCGGTACAATTGGTAAACGTACCATGTTACTAGACAAAATGAATGAAGGCAATAAAACACTTGACATAGCATTTAACCCACTATGATGGCTTAGTGCCTTTGAGGTTGCACTCAAATTAGTGTCTTTCACTGATTTTCAGGGCCTTGCCTTATGTTCAGTTACTTGGCTTTTTCTTGTCTGCCTTGTTTTAGGCTGGGGAAACAGTTTCACGTAGGCACCAGGATTTTAATTCATGGTTTTGAATTTTTAATAAAAACTGCTGCATTCATTAAAGGGGCTCTGCATCGCTTTTCTAACTAACCATCAAATGATTTCATTAAAGCAGTTTATTGCATTATGAATCAACTGCTGCAAAATGTTTAAAAATCTGTCAAGTGCAGGCGCAGTTACAGAGATTTGCTGCACACTGTAATTGCTTTCTCGCTTCTCTCGTCCCAATGAACACACTGGAGGCTAAGCAGGAAGGGATGGCACTGGGGGGAAAAAAGTTATGTTACACGCGTTGTGACCACGAGCACTTATTCTTTTTTTTTCTTTTCACCTTTAGCGTATGGGAGTGTGTACGTGGGCATGTGGCGGCATCTACCTGTGGCCTCAGAGGCTATGTAGCTCGTGATGCTCAAATCAGCCAATGGCCGTAAATTTAGGCATATGACATGGTCATTTGAGTGTGTGGCATCATTTGTAGAAAGAAGAGGCTTCCGATCTCTAGGTGACTTAAAATAATTTCAAACTACAGGCCTCGTAATGTTTGGCTTGCGTATTATTGGAAGCCTTAACTACGGATCGGCAGCATTTTCTGACCATTGTGAAAAAGTGTCGCTGGGCTCCTTTAAAGTCACGAATGATGCTTTCTTTGTACTTGACTTTATCACCTAGTGTTAGTAGGGTCGCATGTGTGAAAGATACAATAACCATATATATATTTTGTCCGATATTCTAGGTGGACCTTAACGAGTTTGTGTACCAGATGTCGCCAGCTTTGGCCAAGATGCAGAAGAATCTCAGTTCTGTGTTCAGCACCGACAAGATTTCGCACAAGGTCCTCGGCAAGGGCAAGTGGCACCTGGTGGCTGGGAAGCACGGCGTGTGGTTCTGCGAGAGCATGTCCTCGCATCTCAACTCCTGTCGACGGGACATCACAGGTAGCTTGAGCGCATCCTGTGTGTGCGTGCACGCTTTTATGGGAGGGTAAGGTGGCAGGGGAGGTAAGCCATTACAGTTGCTTCAGAGCTATGGCACTACAGTCAAACCTCAATATATCGAACACGGATATATCGAATTACTGCCTATATCGAACGGTTCCTATATCACGCGGGAAATCGCATGCATTATTGATTTTTTATTTCAAACAAAGTTTGACATATAATGGATATATCGAACTCAGCCACCCCAAACCGCCCGCGCTCCATTGACAGGTGGCGAGCTTTCCCGTAACTCTCGAAAGTAGCGGTAGAGCGGCGGGCGTTTACGAGTGCTGCACACATCGATGGCGCCGAGAGCGCCACTTTTAAGGTAGCAACGTACGCGCGCCGCAGCCTTGCAGCTTGCAGTCGTTGCAGTCTCTGTGGTGTCAACGGCACACTGCGCACTTTTTGGGAGGATTCGCTCGCAGGATTTCAAGCTGGACGGTTGTGCCCTCGCGATCTCCAACGCCAGCGTAGCTCCTGTCGACTGGTTCGCCCTCCGCGGTCTCCTGATGCCGTGCAGCTCTCGCATTGTGGCGCCTCGCCCCTGGACTGCTTCGACCGGATCCCCACTTTCCTATCCCTTTCTTTTTTCCGTGGCTTGCCTGTCTATTTCTTCATCTATTTCCTTCTATTCTTTTTATCCCTCCTTCCCCCCACCCCTATAAGGCACTGCGCCGTGTCGCCTGAAGGCAGACAGAAATTAGGTGCCTTTTTCCTCCTCCCTACAATCACTACTACCATCACTTGTTGCAAGCTCCTCTCGCGTAGCATCGGCAGGCATCGGTCGTTGTGCTCGCAGTGTTCTTGCATTCGGAGTTAGGCCTGTCGCGCGCTGTGGTGCGCGACAGGCCTAACTCCGAACGGCGGAGCTCACGGATGTGGAGATTGTCGCTGAAGCTACTGCTGAGCAGCCAAATGAAGACTCTGCCGAGATGGATTCCGCAAGCACTGATGGTGCCTCGCTCCCGACATCAGCTGAGGTCGTAGCTGCCTTGGTCCTTGTGCGCCGCCACTGCGGCGCGATTGAAGGCACCGGCCTATCACTTATGGATCGCCTGGACTATATTGAGGACGCAGTCGTCAAACACGCTATGGCCAACAAAAAGCAGGCTACTCTTTTTCAATATTTTAAACCAACACAATAAATACTATGTTTGAATCTTCAAATGAGTATTTACTGCACCGGCTTGAACGGTTCATTGGTTGTTTTCAGCAAGCTGTTGACGCATTTTTTCATGATTTTTTTATATCGAATTCTGGATATATCGAACTATTTCGCCATCGCCGCGCTGTTCGATATATCGAGGTTCGACTGTATAATACACTCAAACCTCGTTATAACAAAGCCACATATGCTTCTAAAATTGCCTCATTATATCAGAAAATTCGTTATAAACAATTATTTCTTACTCATATTTGCGACAAGGCTTTTCTTCACTTACTTCGTTATTGCCAATAATTCGTTATATCTATGTTTGCTATATCGAGGTGCGAGTGTAATTGGCGTAGCTGAAATGCTGTGGGTTCGACTCCAGCAGCGGCTGCAGCATTGTAATCGGGAGATAATGCATATATGTACACTTGTGTGCACTTGAGCCGCATAGTAACGAAGTTTTATCTGACAGGAAAATAACCTCGTTGTGCTTGAAAATTTGTTATAAGTGCATATTCACATATCGACGATGAGAGCATTATTCATGTGTAACTGGTAATTCATCATATACACATCTATTGTATCAAGATTTGAGGGAACTTGAGTTAATGATCTATGAGTAGTCAACATTACCCTGGAGTTCACAACGACTGTGTTTCTAAAGACTTTGCTCTTCCTGTTGGCATCTTGTCTGCTTTTTTCAATGTATCGAATTTTTTTACAATCTCCTGTATGACGTGAGATGGCGCTGTTAATATACAAATATTTAAAAAAGAAATGCATTTTGGCTTTAATTTCACGCAATTAAACAATGCTGCCGTGAGCACAACACCAAGCTTCAGTGCGCTGAAAAAGAAAAAGAAAGAAAAAAAGAAGTAACACTAATGCCGTCTGTAATCTAAATGTGAAGGCACATCAAGGCGCATTAAGGACTACCAAGATTTGTGCACTCAATTGAAGAGGTTACAACGCATTGCTGATGGTCTATTTTGACTTTGGGTCACTCGGTTTCCCGCGCTCATGTGTGATTGCCGTGTCTTACGTGTCAGCTTGGGCAGCACCTCTTTGTACCTGTGTGGCGGTGTACGCTTGTATCATGTGTCACAGCGCAGCATGAAAATATGTTCTCAACAGCCGTACTTCGTTACATTCTAGGCGAATGCGCCTTGTCCGGCACCACAGAAAAGTTTGTATCTCACTGAAATTTTCACAAGCCACGATTGTATCGTCAAGGGTTTTCTGTAGTTGTATAATTTTGTACAAATGTGCGGCTCGATGGTGCTACATTTATGTAACGCTTGTGCGAATGTGAAAGATCAATGAAAGCTTATTGATTTATGGACAATCAGCCGAACCTTTCAAGAAAATTTCATTTGGCAACCTACGAGATGCAGTTCGATAGGCTAAGGTATAAAATGCTATAGCACCAACAAGAGCAGTGAGTGTACCTCACGTGCGGCTTCACGCAGGCTACTTTTGGGAGAAGGCACATGTGAATCTCTTGCACTCGGGGACCAAATGGACCGACATTGCCGCCAGTGGAGTCTTCAAGGACGAGGGTGAGACGCTTGTGTTGCCTTATTTCTTACCATCGACCTTAGTGGCATGCTATGCAGCTAAGGATCGCTGGTTTGATTTCTGGTTGGGGAAGCTGCATTTTTGTGAAAGTGGAAAGGTGTTTGTGCACGTAGTATGTGAAGGTTTTAATAAATTTCCGAGTCAATTCGAATACATGTGTTCGAGAAGTGCGACCTTGGAATGTAGAGTGCTTCAGCATTTCTGACCAGAGTACACCCTAAAGCTATTGTTGACCATGCACGGTTTAAGCTCGTGTGCTGTAGTTGGTCTTTGACTTGCGCGCATCTTGTCTCCTTCCATGCACATACCATCGCATGTATGTACGCATGCATTTGTACAGGCAGGTATTTGTATGGTCAGATTTTCTATGTGCTTACTGCAACTGACCTGTGCATGGCATGGCGCATATCTTGCTGCACCATAGCGGCGACAACGATGCAGTTTCTTGCTTTTAGAAGCAATGCACTCTTGAAGCAGTTCTGCTCAAGAAGCAATAGCAATATAGAACGTTTGTATTGTCGCGTATTTAAAAGCGTGTGGTACAATTACAATGGCCCTTTTTGCCACACGTGCTGCCGAGCAATTATACCCCTTTTTGAGAAGTTTTCTCCGCGAAATGGAGTCGTTGGCATAGAATATTTCTTCTCTAAAAAGTGAGCTTTCGCTGTTTGAAAAAAAAAAAAAAAAAAAAATGAAGCACTTGGCACGTCAGCTTAGCTTAATGAGTTTTAATGTTGATTACTCATGAAGAAAGGCTGGATATCTGCTAAAAAATAACAATAAAATACGAAACGGAAACAGGAAGGCTGTCAAAAAAAATTTCAGCATTCTGAGAAGGGTTTCCTGATTCTTACCGTATTAATTTAATTTTAACACGACCGTGATTGTGACGCAAGGGGCTACTTTTCATTGCATCCTGCAAGAAAAAAAAAGGCATCCTAGTATTCAGTTGTAAATCGAGGGTTGACTTTAGGTAAAAAAAGTCTGGAGAAAAGGTTGAGTTGCATTGGTGCTTATAGAGTAGGTCGGATTAAACGTTGCGTTACGTTTGTGTAAATGCGGGGCTATTTGAATTATTCTGACAATGATGCAAGCCTTTTCCATCATCCGGACAGGTCACATAGTCCGAAACCATTTGGCGACAGTTTGGCAAAGACAAGGTTTGCTTGTTCGAAACAAGGAAGGGATTAAAGATGCTGATTGCGATAGGATTTTTGGCAAAGAGGTGAATTCAGGTGCTCGTTGGTTGTGTCAAGGCCCATTTGTTGGGCGGCTCTGACGGAAGACAACACGAAAGGCCTTTGATTACTGTATAGCACGGTATTGGCAACACTGAGTTGAAGAGGCCTTGCGGCCCTTTTCCAAGTAATCATCAAATGACAGTACCATCAAGAGTTTATTGTCTCGTCAATCCACAACCTCAAAATTTTTATAATCTGTTGAGGCGAGCAGAATTAATGACTTGTTGCACCCTCTAAACAGTGTCCTTCTCGTTTTGCCCAGTGAGTGCACTGAAGGCTACATAGGACAAGGGTTCATGAAGCTACATCTGTGCATCATTGTGCAACCTGACCCTGAGTAGTTTCTTTTCTTTGAACACACGCACGGTCAATGTGTTAAATATGCAAGGCTCACTTGCCCACGCCGCGGTAGCTTACAATGCTCAAATCAGCCAACGGCTTTGTTATTTGGGTGCAATTGATTTGGAATATATGGCGTGATTTTGTGAGACAAGAGAGAGCAATTTCTAGCTTACATTCAGATTGAGCTGCAAATTTTATACAATGTGCTGTGCTATAATGTTTGGCTCACATGTTTGTAAGAGCATGGATTGCCAATCTCCATTATTTTTCAGACTATGTTTGGAAAGTAGTGCAGGGCCTTAAGAGACCTTTCATCAAAATTTTCTGTTTCCTTTTTTTTTCACATGCCTATTTTATAGCATTGGGGTAGTGCTATGTCTTTTTTTTCCCTCTCTCTTTTACTTTTTTTTTTTTTGTTCAGAAAGGCGGATAATGGCACCCGCACGTAATGGGTTGAAGGCAAGAGTGGCTTTCGCCTTGAAAATAAATAGATCTCTCGCTTCTCCTTCGCTCAAGATTCAGCCGTGACGAACGCATTTTCAGGGAGCTAGCTACTCAGTGGCTTATCAAACCCCTCTGTACTTCTGAAATCTCGTTGACAAACTGCATGTTTTTGTGTTGCTTCGATGACGGTTTACGTCTCGTCGTGCTTGTTCCAGGTGTCGTGTGGGGCCTTCAGACGGGTGGCCAGCTGGCAGCGCTGATTCCGCGTCTGCGCAAGTGGTACACCGTGGGTTTGCCTCGTGGCACTTCGCTCAGCTGCATCGCGCCCTCGCCTGAGTCGCTCTGGGCGCTGACGAGTGATGGTCGCGTGATGGTGCGCACTGGCGTGAACCCACCGCCAGCCGATGGGCGACACCTGGGTCTCGCTGGACACCTCGCAGCTGGGTACGAGAGTTTTCTCACTGAGCGGCTATAAAAAGAAGTGTATTACAGCAAACTCGTGTATTCTGTACAGAAAAGGGCCTGACAGGGACAGTGGAAGCTATTATTAGGTGATGCACATTAAAAAACTAGCCAGAGACAGTCTGCTCCAAATGGCAGTATCATTTTTAATACTACAATGTCAGCTTTTGCTCAGTTTCAGGCTACAGTACTAGCACCTCCTGACGGCTGGGAGCAGTACATATGTACACTCAAACCTATGCATAACAAATCCAGATATTACGAAATATCAGTTAAAACAAAGTAGATGAAGAATAGTCTTGCAACCGATATAGTGTTAGGAATATACCTTTATAACAAATTGAAAAAAGAATTGTAATCAGTAGCAACTGCAAAAACGTCTGAAATGACAAATGTGAATTTCAGACAGATGTTTGTGTATTACACTCAAACCTCGTTATAACATAGTTGCATCTTACAAGAAAAGAAGTTTGTTATATCCGAAATTTTTTCAGTTATTCCTAGCACTGTATCTATTGTAAAACTGTTTTTGGTTCACTTCGTTATAACCGATATTTTGTTATATCTGTGTTTGTTGTATTGAGGTTTCAGTGTCTTCTCTTGTTTCCATAGCAGCAGAAGAATTGCTTTGTTAGTAGATTTTTAAAATCTTTCTGATGACTGTTGTATGTTCCATGCAAAGTGAAGCCTGGTTCACAACTCTGATTAACACTGGTGACTCACAGAGGTCACAGGGCTCGACTGATCTCAAAGCAGCAGGTTATAAAAAGTAGTTAGTGGCTTTAGTCAAAAAGCATCTGTTTTAGCCAAGGCACGGCAGGAGTTTTTTAGTCACGCAACTGCACTTGCATACTCTGTGAATGAAACAGTCACGTGCAAGAACAGTGCATCTTCTTAATTTGCAGGGTTATGTCTTTGCGGGCATGCATTAGTGGCACCACGTGCTTGCTAGGAGTTTTTATCTGGCTATAAATATTATGTCTAGCGATGGTTGAACAATAAATTTGACGTTTGAAGGGAATAGTGATTTTGTCAAACAGTTTTGAATGAAATAGTTCGAATAGTATATGTCCAATATAGTTGAATCTCATTAATTTGAACACGCTTAATTCGAACTCCCAGTTAATTGGAACTCACGATGGGGTCCCGTCAAAGCTACATGTATTCTAATGGGCGAAAACGCCCGGTAATTCGAACGCGCAAGCACTTGCGATGGTTAATTTGAACATACCGCGCTTCGAAAATGTTCTCAGCACCTCGCCCAATCCCGCGGCAGCACCTGTGACACCTCAACGCTGCGTGCGAAGGAAATAAAAAGGAAATAAAAGGCTGCGGTGGAATGTTTGCTCTCTCTCAAATGCCGATCTGCGACGTGCCCGTGTCCCGCTTCTCCCTTTTTTGTCCCTGCCACGTAAAGACCCTTTTCCTTCCAACACCGTGCGCGAAGAGAGAGAGAAGAAAAAAAAAAAGAAAGCTGTCGCTGGGTTGAATGAATGTGTGGTTGAAGAAAAGGAACAAGGCACTGTCTTCTGCAGCCCTTGCGAGAGCACGTCTCTGCGCCTTAAGGGGGGGGGGGGTCTCTCATGCGCCGGTGCCACGCTTCTACCTTTCCCGTCTCTGCCACGTAACCCTTCTCCTTTCAGTGACGCGTGCAAAGAGAGCAAAATAAATAAAAAAGCTGTCGTGGTGTGTTGGTTTTCTCTCAAATGCCGATCTGCTTCTCTCTGTGTGGAGACGCTCCTCCTTTCTCTCTGTGTGGAGACGCTCCTCCTTTCTCGTCACATGCTGGCCATGCTGCGGCTGCGTAGCGGAGAGCGGGACACTTCGCTACGCTGTCGTTGTTGTCGTCATCTTTAGAAAGTGTCGGCGCTGGACATTTCTGCGCAAAACTTCTCTTGCCAGGAGAATGCTGAAGCCGAAGTAAAAATGCTTTGCAAGCTGCGTGCGAAATTGACTCGCTGCAAGTCAAAGGTATGCAGACGCGCATCACCGATTACTTCAGTTAATAACGGATGTCCTGTGATTTGTGAATAAATGTCAGTCTTCTGAAACTTCCCCCGTGTGTGTTAGCTCAATGCTTATGCGCCACTGATGGAGAGCCCTTCGTTTATTTTGTCTTTCATTAATTCGAACTTCTTTTAATTCAAACAAATTTTCAGGCCCCTTCGAGTTCGAATTATTGAGATTCGACTGTGTTATAAAGAAAAAGAATTTTTTATGGCTCATTTTAACTACATGTCTATAACACTTAGAACAAGGCTTGTGCAAATGTCACTTTTCGGGTTCAAGGCTGTGAGAGATGAGATAGAGTAGAGAGTGCGTGTGTATTGGGTGCGTGTCTTTCTCGGAGGCTGTGTGTGGTTGACGGCAGAGAAACGAGATGGCGCGATTGTCGAGTGAACATCGCGAGAGGGCACGCGCGTGTGCTCATTGGGATACGGGAGGTGGAAGATGAGGGTACGAGAAGAGGAGTCGGACATGTTGGATATGCGGCACGGAGAATAAAGAATATGCGGAGTGCGTGGTGAACGTGGTTGTGAGTCGTGAAGTATATCGTCGAGTCTAACAAAGCAAAATGGAAGAACATTGAATAGTAGTGGGATTTGAGTAATAGAAGGGTGCTAGTTATTATTTGTAAAATGCGTTGCATTTTAAAATTTGCTGTACATATAGGCTTGTGTAGCAAACTTATAAACATAAAAAGAAAAAATAATAATGAAGGCACAGCTAATATGTTTGCTCAGCCGTTAAGTATGGCTTTGGGACAGTGAGGTTTTTATCTGTATTTCTTGTCATAGAAGCCCTACTGTGCAGTGAAACCACCTTTTCAGGGGGTCACACGTGGTTTAGAAAAAAAAGTCTGCTTGGTTGTTTTCAACTTGATGAAATTTTGGGAAGTTCAAAATTGTTCAAAGATACAAAATGCTGTAAAGTTTGACCATGCCTAGCTAGATCAGGTGAGCTGATGAGAATGTGTGTTGTTTATGCAATGGTTTATCTGATCACTGGCAACCACCAGTATAAGCGAGTCCTAAGAAAGGATATATGCAGTACCGTAGGTGGGATGGCAGCACAACTTGTCATCAGTAAACGAACCTTTCAATCACACTTTCCACAGCAGAGTGTCATTGCATTTAATGTTGACTCTCTTTTGACCAACATGACCGACGTCAATTTGCGTGACTCTTGCCTGCCTTGTCCTGATTGATAGTCCTGCCCGTTACGTCAACAATGTAGTGTGCCTTTGTTTGGCTGACGTAGGTGATGCCCAGCTCACACACATCAGCTGCAGCTATGAAACAGTGTGGGCGTGCGACAATAAGGGAACGGTGTACATGCGCATCGGCTCTCTGCGGCCGCCCGCTCCTCGCACGTTGCCACCGGCCTGGGTGCCGATTGAGTCTGGTTACCAGGAGGAGTCGCCGTTCATATCTGCGGTGAGTGGAGATCTGTATGGACTGCTCTGGAAAGCTTTGGCTGTGTGTAGCTTTATCCACGTGTTGTCGATGATGTGGTCAAATGCTCATGATGCCAAACTGGGTGTGTCTATTTTGTTATTACTATTGGCTGGAGCATCTTCTGTAATATGCTCATGATAAATTGTAGCGCATAGGGGTGCATACTTGCACTCTATCGTCAACTATGTAATTCTCTATGCTGGCAGTTTTTAGGACTTACGGTAGTTTGCGCTTGTACGTTGTCTGTTTTTTTCTGTTTGAGCCTGCCTTAGTTTATCATAATGCTGATTTAGATAGCTAGAACATGCAAAACTATGGGGATAATCTCTGCAAAAGGGACACTAAAGGCAAGTATTAAGTCGATGTTGATTGCTGAAATAGTGGTACAGAAACCTCGTAGTGCTACTTTTGTGCCAAGGAAGTGCTTATTTTGAAGTAAAATCACGTTTTTAGTGGTCCGCATTGTGTTAGCACGCTTCAAATTACCTCCCACAACTGGAACCTCTCATGTCACTGTTGCTGTGCACCACATTGCCGGGCTTAATGCGCGGCTGCTGACACTAGTAGAAGCAGAACGAAAGAAGGGACTGCCACAGCAGCAACAACAGTCATTGAACAATTTCTTGCCATGTCCTCCGAGATGGCCGGCGTGCTTGGTTCAACTGGGCCCCGCTAGATGGCTTAACTTGTCCAGTTTAACCAGGCGGACATTGAACTTTTGAACCCCTCGCGCCTTTCCCCATAGTAATGTACGGCGGTTCTTTTCTCTATGAATCAAACAGAAACGAACAAGCAGCATTTTATTACGTCTCCTGATGCATGAAAGGGTCTTTATTTACTGCAGCTAGTTCGATTACTAGTGATTAACTGTAGGCAGTAAGTCTCACGTCGGGATCGTTTTTCGATTGTCCTGATCGCGATGCATTGTTCTCGTGTGTTTACATTAATTTCTCGGCAAGGGGTGCTGCTGGTTGATAATACTGTCGTTTTAGGTGTCATACATGGAGATTTCACTCTGACTTAAATGGTAATTGACTTTAGTGTCCCTTTTAAGACGATTTTTGCTATGAACAGTAGTTTGAGGGCTTGTTTGGCCCCTGTGAACAAAAGTGTCAACAACTCCTAAATACCAAATAATAATAATAATAATAATAATAATAATAATAATAATAATAATAATAATAAAACCAGGGTGAACTTCGGTCGAAGGTTAATACTGAATGAGAAGAAATAATCAGTCGCCTTTGAATTGAATTTATAGTGCATATTTTGTTTACTTTGTAACAGTATTCGTACAAAAAGAATGCTTATCAGTTATGCAACTTCCAAGGTGGTTTGCATGCAGCTGTGTGGTCACAGAAATAATACATTTTCAGCAACTTCGTAATGGCAATAGAGAAAAATTTGTCTTAGAATTTGGGGATCTTGGGTGCACATCGTGGAAGAATACAGATAGGTGAAATACAGTAGACTCCACTTAAAAGGAACTCAAAGGGGATCCATAAAACTGTTCCATTTATCAGAAGTTTCGTTTAAGCAAAGTACACTTATTTAGTGAATCAATAGCTTTATTCAAATTGCACAAACCTCACCATACTCATGAGGATGAGTAGGAGAAAAAAAAGGAGTGAAAGGTGGTTTGTTTGGCAAGCTTGAGTTGTTTTGTCACAAGGTACGCTCCCATGCCCGACAAACTAGACAGAAATTCTGGACAAGCCTTATGCTCAAAATAGCGCTGCAAAAGTTCAACAGCCTCTTTGGCTGATCGGTCTGGTGGCACCACTACACTGGAAATATTGTCTCCACATTCATCGTTGGAATGTTAATCCTCATCTAGCTCTTCGGCAACCTCTTGCACTTCGGCAACCATTTCCTCGACAGTCTCCTCATGACAGGTACGAACATTTTCATCAATTGATTCATAGTTCTGCAGCATGAAAGGGTAGACGGCACGACATCACTGAATACTGCTTCAATGTCGGCATCAGCAGGCCTTTCTTCTTCATCAGGTACTGCTTCTTGCACTTGAAAGCCAGCATTATGAAAGCATCTGTGTATTGTTGTTGCCTTCACATGCTCCCAGGCACGGGCCAAAATGTGGATGGCTGCCAATAAATCTATGCTGTAACATTTCCCGCGGTCTGCACAAAGCAGCAATCAATGGAGCAATTGTCTGCGGTAATGAACTTTGATGTTCTGAATAACCTCTTGATCCATCAGCTGGATCACTGTCGTTGAATTGGCTGGCAAGGACTCTAGAGTGATGGCTTGGAGTCAACCTGACAGTGGGGGATGGGCAATTATCCACGATGAAGACAACCTTCACGCCTTGTCTCGTAAATCTTGCTTCTTCCTCCCATAGCCAGTTCTTGAAAATGGCCATGGTCATCCATGCTCTTCCGTTCGCTTGGTACGCAACGGGAAGGTGTCGAACGCCCTTGAAACAACGTGGGTGCCTTGATTTTTCTATTACCAACAGCTTCAATTTCTCATCTCCTGCCTTGTTGGCACCCACCAGCACAGTGATGCGATCTTTACTGCGTTTTCCTCCACTACAGGCTTCGCCTTTGAAGGTGAGAGTCTTTGATGGAAGCGCTTTATAAAAAAAAACTCATCTCGTCGACGTTAAGACGTCTTGTGGCTCAAAGCTCATCAAAATTTCCTTAGGCCGCCCCTTTTGCCAGTCGGTGCAAATGTCTCTGTTGACTGCAACACTCTCACCTGAGATTGCTTTGAAGACTAGGCCATGGCGTGTTTTGAAGCGGCTGAGCCATTCGTTGCTTAGGACGAAGTTCTCAACACCCGTTTGCATGGCGATCTCTCGAGCTTTCTGCTCGAGAATCGGTCCGCTTATGGGCAAATCAGAACTCCGTGCACGCTTGAACCGCAGAAAAAGAACTTTTTCTAGTTGTTCATAAGGCATCGTCCGCCTCCGTTTAGATGCAACGGTCCCATTCTTTACAGCACCTTCAATCTTTTCTCTGCCTTTGCAGATCCACGACATTGTCGATTTCAGGATGCTGTATTTTTTCGTCACTTCCATCTTGGGCAGGCCGCTCCTGAAGAATTTCCAGCTTCTTTTCCATCGGGCTGAAATAACACCGTGATCCAACGCACTTAGCCGTACAAATAGGCCTAACACACAACTGACTTGTCGACTCGGCCACAGAACACCTATACACTACCATTAACTCGGCTCCCACAGCGGCCATAAGCGAGAATGGCTACTGGATTGGCTTGTCTCGAGTTGCTGTCGTGGTTGTGAGACTACCTTTGGCCTGAGCGAGTCTATTCTGTGTTTAGAGTTTGTGCCGCTTAACCGGAGGTAACCAATAAACTCTGTTTCGATTAACCGATGAATTTTACTGTGCAACAATAGAAATCCAGCCATATGAGACCATTTAGTTCCGTTAATGAGGCATCTTCGTTTAAGCGTGTTTCGTTTATTGGGAGTCCACTGTGAAGTAAAAAATGGTCAAAGAAAGAAACGATGAGGTAAAAAGATCAAATGCTTGGGCAATTGCAAAAAGCAATCATGACAGTACCATGGCGGTGTTGCTAAGACTTCAAGGGTTTAAAAGTGTGTGCAGGGAAACAAGTGCACATACGAAAATTTTTTGGTGTTTAACCATTTGACAAAATATAGCATTGTTATAAAAATAGAAGGAATGAATAATATTCAGAAACAAAATGCAATATCGATAATTTATACAAAAGGAATGCATTGTTTTAATTACATAACCTAAATGTAAACAAAATATACAACCTGCATGAGTGGCTTTTTATTGTTTTTATGCCTATTTTCTTTTGTTCCTGTCTTTTTCTCCATTTTTCCACCTGTAAATTTCTCATTTCTTTATTTCTTAATGGTTTGTGACTAATAATAATTTATAACTGCCACACAGTTGTGAAATATCATATAGGGTTGTATAGGTTCATAAGTAATTTTAATAAAACATGCGGCGGGAAGGGGCCAAAGCATTTACGTTGAGTTGCTTACACACGCCATGTTTATTTCTGTTTTGTCATCCGGATCCCCCCAAAGTCTGCATCAGAAAACCCGTTTTCGTTGCCCTTTGAGATTTCAAAGGTTTCTGAAGCCTCACCTCACCAAGGTATGTCGGGTGCCGTAAAAAAATTTTTACGCATGCGTTTAACCTCTCTATTTTGCGGTCGCATGCTTCTACTAACGTCTCTCGGCTTCGTCTGTAGAGGTCTGTGGAGTGTAACAGAACCTGGGGGCATGCCTCCTCCCTCTCTCTTGAAATGCTTGCAGTTGCTACAACGTGGCCTAGAACGCCGGCCCATCAACTACAAAAAAGTACTGGCTGTTGTATGTTGTAGTTTCAATCGTAATAATGCAAATGAGTTCTGCAGAATGCTGCAAGATTGGGGAACACTCATGAGAAAGGTGATTTACAATAACCGGATTGTAGCCAGAGCCGCAAGAAATACCAAGAATTTTTCTTCTACCCTAAGCTTTTCTTTCTAAGAAATCTACTTAGATTTCCTTGTGGCTTCCGCTACGACAGGTGGTTGTCAATTAATCCTTTCAATTGTGATAGTGTTTTTTCGCCTGTTACCAAAGATTAGGGGCAGCTGGAACTGCAAAAATCTCTGCAGTTTTGCTTTCTACCTCACAATCACTCACACATGGGTCAATCCGAGTGAGTCAACGCTTGTGGGAGTTTTATGGCTTATGCCGTAGCCCAAATCTCATTTCATGATTTGATACCTGCTGTAGCATGTACTGTATTTAAACAAGACCTTACAGTAGAGCGAGATAATTACTTAGCATAAGTAGAATTTCTTGTTAAAGCATGCACTGCTTATATCCCTTCATGTCCTCTTTTCAAGAAGTTATTATAGTTTTTATATAAAGTATATTATTCTTAATGTTCCTATATATAATAGTATCACTGGTCAATTTTGCTTATTAAATGCTGCAGTGATTATTTTCTGTCGTAAGTGAGCATTGGAAAGTGGAAGCGGAGTAAGAGTTCTAAGCAACATTGCCAAAAATACATTTTAGATATTGTCCCCTATGGCTTGAAGTAGTGACTCAGATGATTAACAATATATTAATCTTTTGGCACCAGGGTAAAATTAGGTAGAAATAATAAACTAGACAGTGTGTTACTAATAAGTGACAGGGACCAAAGAAGGGTGTCTGACTTTCTTGTCCTACATTATTGCATCGTCCAGATCACCTGCAAGCTTAACCGAACCAATCACATGTTTTTGGTTCACTTGTAACATAAGAGAAGGGTCACGGCTATCAATCAGTAGCTTCGTCCCACGACAGTTACCTATTGTTTGAATGGGTGACCATTGTATGCTCATCATACTTCTAACGTATTGCAAGTGAAGGTTATGGTCATCAGGGATGTCCAAAGTGTGAATATGATATGGCAAGAGTTGGCAACATTGTCGATACCTTTTGTAAGGGCCATCTAGAACTGCCTCCACAGGACGTAAGGTGACACAAGATAGCGATCAGTTTTTCATACTCATATCAGGAGAGCAGTCACGAAAAACGGTCATAGCTGATAGTTACCAGTTGTACTTTATATCTTTTGTGCTAATTTTCGAGCTGCTCACTGGGTTTTGTGCGTGTGTTTTTTTTTTCGTTGCTGACACCCGCTTTTCTTTTCTTAACTTTCTTGGCCCTGTTATACTAACTGCCTGTCACGGGAAATCGTGCTCGACTTTTCTGCATTTATGAAGCTCTGTTTCAGGTCTAGTTCAGTTCGGTGCAGGAAGGACGTAGCACAGCATGGGCGCTGAGGGGCAGACATACGGGCTCTTTCGTGGAATATTTTACAGCGCAACGGGTTATATACGGACAGAGAAGGTACACAGCGCTGAACTCTCAACTGAAATTTATTTGGAAAAAGAAAGGACATGTATAGGAGACAATGAGTCATCGTAACTGTGCGCATGGGCACATGTGTTACGGCATAACACGCTTCATTGTCTTGTCTAACAGGAATTGTATTCTTCATCTTGAAGAGTGACAGAAGGATGACTTATGCACTTGTTATTAGATTTAATGAAAAAAGCTTCGGCTGTCTCATGCAGTGCGCTGATTCCACATGTCTATATTTGATGGAAGTTTTCTGCTAGTAGGGCTCACATCCGCATGATCTACAATGCGCTTCCAAATGAGACGTGATTGCAGCACCTGATAGTGTCAGCTCATAGCTCTCGTAATCGCACGTTAATGCACCGGCCTGTTTGGCTACGTATTCGCAGCCGCAAGGTAGTGGAAAGGCATAAACTACGCCAGTAGCACAACGCACATATTTGTGGACATGTTTGGAGACACATTTCAGTTTCATGATTTCAGTTGAGAGTTCAGCGCTGTGTCCCTTCTCTGTCCGTATCTAACCTGTTAGGCTGTAAAATATTCCACGATGAACATCCACCAACTCGCCCAACTCGCGATTCTGCTTCAGTATACGGGCTCTGTCTGTGAGGTAATGAGACTGGGGTCTGGTAAAAGGAACTCATTGATCCGATCAGAGCATGTATCAAAATTCAACATAGTTTCATTGTGCATATCAGGGCAGCATCAGCCCTGCCTGATGCACGACTGGCGCACTTCTTCCTGTTCCCAAAGCTCAAGAGAAGTCTGAAAGGCCACAATTTCAGTGCGCTCCAGCCATCCACTGGGCTGTCACTGAGTCTCTGAAAGAGGTCACTGCACCTGAGTTCCGGGGAGCATATATCGCTTTACTTTTCAGGCAGCCTCGGGGAGTCTGTAGGGGTGTATTGACACACAATGAAACCATCTTGAAGAATTCTAATATGGGTGAACCCGTTTTATCAAAGACTTGCACCTGGAAGCAGTTCTTGTCTTCGATGTAATGTGTCTCTTACAAGCAGGGTACTAGGTATTCATTTTCTTATCAACCCCTATTTCAGTGTAGGAACACGGGTGTCTCTTATACCCATTTGTCTTTGACATGGCTGGCTCTTTTGAAGCATTTTGACTGTAGTATGCATCATTTGGATGAATGAATTCTGTTTACCAGACCCGGTGTGGCTACTTAATGCACAGACCCTGTAGGCTGGCGCAAGACAGACAAATTTCACCAGTCTGTCCCACGTCAGTTCATGCTTGTTCTTTCATTCGTCCTCGCATGTTATGCTGCATCTTTCCTTTGGAGTTTCCCATCGTTGAACAAAAGACGTCGTCCCATTGGCCTTTCCAGGTCTACGTCGGTCCTCGAAACTTTATGGTGTGGGCGCTGGACAGCCGCAAGCATGTCTACGTTCGCGAGGGCATCTACCCCGAGCTCCACATCGGCACCAGCTGGGTGGAGGTTCCGGGGGTCCAGGCGCGCCAGCTCTGTGTGAGCGAAAAGGCCGTCTGGGCGCTGACGCCGTCGGGCGAGATCTTCCGCCGCTTCAACATCTCCAACAGCAACTTTGTGGGCGATTACTGGAAGAGGATACCAGGCCACGCAGCTTGTCTTGCCGGTGAGCGGCTGCTGTCTCTGTTCAGACTTGTTATTGGCGCAGTGTCAAACGAATTTCTCAGCGAAGGAAAGATAATCGAAGCTCTGGACCTGCCACGGTAGCTTAGCAGGCGAAGGTTTCGTGCCGCTATGCTTGAAGGCTGTGGATTCGAGTCCCTGATACGGCAGCCACATTCTGGTGGGGGTGAAATGCAACAACACCATGTGCTTAAATTTAGATGTACTGTATAAACGCGTGTAAGGGCCGCACCCGTGTACGGGCCGCACCCCGTTTTTATGACGCACATATTCGAAAAAAAAAAAATTCGCGTAAGGGCCGCACCCACACTTTCATTAACCCACATGTATTCAAAATGCGCGCGTGCATGCGAGCTTTTGAACGTCGTCAATAGATGGCGCGAAAAAACGCAACCATCATCATCACTATCAAAGTTTACAGCGGTTTACAGGTGCGTCACTAGGATATTTTGTTTAACTTTCTTCGTGCTAAGGTGTTCATAAAGTTTGCTAAATATTTCAACTATTTGATTAGTGTTCATACGCTCGTTACCTAAAGGTTAAACCGGTATTTTATCCTTCGTGCCTCGCACCACTATACAAACGCGCTCTCGATATCGGCATCAGCATCACCAACTTGTGCAGTTCAGCCGGCCATTTGTAGGAGTTGTGCACGCCGTATTGTCTCTCGTGCTTGTCTTCTGCCGAGCGTTCACGTTGTAGCACGATGGGCAAGCACCTGAATAGCTACACGGCTGGCTACAAGTTAAAGGTGGTCGAGTTTGCGCTCGAGCACGGGAAACGTGCCGCCGGCAGAAAATTCGACGTCGACGAAAAGTGTGTTCGAAGATGGTGCGCACAAAAGGAAGCTCTGGAAAACACGAACAGCAAAAAGCGCGCTTTCCGAGGAAAGCCATGCAAGTTTCCGGAACTAAAAGAAGAGTTGTTCCGCTACGTGACAGAAGTGCGGAACGATGGATATGCACTAACTACAGACATGCTGCGCGTGAAGGCACTAGCCTTGGCACGTGCGAAGAATATACCAGCCGGGACTTTCAAGGCTAGCGCTGGCTGGGTGCGACGATTCCTGAAAAGGAAGGATCTCTCCTTTCGGTGAAGGACCACGTTGTGCCAGCGGCTGCCAGAAGACTACACCGATAAGGTGCTTAGTTTTCACAAGCATCTCATCGGCCTTCGTCATCAACATAATTATCTACTGTCGCAAATAGGGAACGCAGATCAAACTCCTGTGTGGTTTGACTGCCCGGAAAACTACACAGTCGAACTGAAAGGCAAAAAGAGCGTCGCTGTGCGGACCACCGGCGCTGAGCGCCAACGCTGCACAGTGATGCTTTGTGTGACCGCGGACGGGCGGAAGCTACCCCCGTACGTCGTATTGAAAAAAAAAAAAGAATTCCAAACGAAGTGTTCCCCAAGGGAGTCATAGTTCGAGCCCAAGAAAAGGGGTGGATGAACGATGACTTGGTGCTCGACTGGGTGAAGTGTGTTTGGCAAAACCGACCAGGAGCGCTGTTAGCCAAACGGTCACTTTTAGTATTAGACAGTTTCCGCGGTCACCTTACCGATAAGGTGAAGGAACAGCTGCACCGTGTCGGCACAGACATGGCCGTGATTCCGGGTGGCCTCACTGGAATGCTGCAGCCTTTGGACGTCAGCGTTAATCGACCTTTTAAGGTGGAATTCAGAAGGCTCTACACGGAATGGATGGCAAGCGGCAGCCACGAGCAGACGCCGACCGGACGGCTGAAGAGGGCACCGCTTGCGGCTGTTCTTGGTTGGGTACTGTCGGCGTGGAACTCAGTCTCGACGGACGTTGTGACCCGAAGCTTTAAAGTCACCGGTATATCCAACAGCTTGGATGGCGCGGAAGATGACTGCTTGTGGGAGGACGGTGCTCCGCAACACACCATCTCGGACACCGAGTCTGAGGACTCGTTGAGCGACGACGATTAAGCACATATGCTGTATGCTGCAATAAACGTTCTTCGTTCGCTAGCTGGTACGTTTTTTTCTTTTGCTTCAAAAAAAAAAAAAATTGCACGTTGCGTGTATGGGCCGCACTCTGAAAATTGGCCCTCATTTCTTGAAAAAAAAGTGCGGCCCTTACACGCGTTTATACGGTATGTTAAAAAACTCCTGGTGATCAAAATTAACCTGGAGTTTCCATATAGCGTGCATCATAATCGTATTGTAGTTTTGGCATACAATACTCTAGATATTATTATCGTTATCCTTAAACCTAGCTTGATTCAGGAGAAGACTTCACTTCAGGGCCGTCTTTCGTTAGCGCATTCAACTGCAGCTGTAATACTGATAAGGTTAGGTGCAGAAATGTATGCGATGGGATATGATGCAGTCGTGGTAAGACACACTTGTTAGCACGCTATTTGTGTTATCCTTCAAGTGAAAATATACGCTTATTTCAAGTCGGAGCAGTGTTGCCAGATGATACTGAGCAAATAAGCTAATACTCATCACAAAAGAAGCAGAAACAATAAATGTACCGATTCTCTAAAATATTTTTAATTAAAATTAAAGATGGCATTGAAACATCAAAAGTTGTTTAAACAATCACCTAATTGTTTTGTACAGTGAAAATATGCATAACTGCGAACGAAAGGACATAGCTACTTCGTATATTGTGTCCAGGGTAGTCTATCCATTCGGCCAGCGCATGATTAACGTTACTTGTAATATCACTCAAGGTATTTTTGAGCACTCAACCATTCGGGTGCACTCAGGGCGGGTCAGAGGAGAGGGGGGAAGGGTTGCTGCACCCCCTGATAACTTCAAGGCTGGGAGCGATGCAAAATCGGGTCCATACATATGCCTTATAGGACGGGAGAGGGACGCTGAGGTGAGCCTTTGCCCCACCCTCTTGATTGGTGTGGTTGGTATGGAAACCCTGTGAACGCCTATGCATACACAACTGCTTTGTCATCGACCAAACATGCTATTAAGGGGGGACAAGGGTCTTGAAATAGTACAAAATTGTAAAAAGTGCTGACTTTCAAAAATTGTAATTTGAGGTAAAGTCGAAAGTATATTTTGGAAAATTTTTATATTGTGGCTAAATACCATTTATTTTTGTTAAAAGCTTAATATATCAAGTTACAAATGGTTTTAAAACTGAAAACATAATTTTCTTGGCGTTGTTATTTTTGTGAAGTGAATGTGCCCTATGGAAGTTTTGAGCAAGTTTCTGTGAAGATATCTAAATAAACTTGGTACAGTCAAACCTCAATATATCGAACACGGATATATCGAATTATCGCCTATATCGAACGGTTCCTATATCACGCGGTAAATCGCATGCATTATTGATTTTTTATTTCGAACAAAGTTTGACATATAATGGATATATCGAACTCAGCCACCCCAAACCGCCTGCGCTTCATTGACAGGCGGTGAGCTTTCCCGCAAATCTCGAAAGTAGCGGTAGAGCGGCGGGCGTTTACGAATACTCCACACATCGATGGCGCCGAGAGCGCCACTTTAACGTAGCGGCGTACGCGCACCGCAGCCTTGCGGTAGAGGTTCTTGAATGAGGAAAGTGAAAAGAAAAACGCGGAGCTGTTATTTTTTTTCAATATGAAGGCACCGACACGGCTTCGCGCGGGGGAGGGGGGAGTGGGAGGTAAAGATTGAGGAGGAAAGTATAGGAGGGAAAGGACGCAGACGACTGTCTCGGACGTGGCCCGCGCTGCCGCCGGAAAAGGAAAAGCAGTCAGGCGAGCCGGCATGGGTGCCCCATGTGCGCGCTTTACACCCGGACTCACGCCGCAGCCTTGCAGCTTGCAGTCGTTGTAGTCTCTATGGTGTCAACGGCACACTGCGCACTTGTTGCAAGCTCCTCCCCCGTAGCATCGGCAGGCATCGGTCATTGTGCTCGCAGTGTACATGCGTTCAAAGTTAGGCCTGTCACGCACTGTCGTGCGCGACAGCGCGCGACAGGCCTAACTCCGAATGGCGGAGCTCACGGATGTGGAGATTGTCGCCGAAGCTACTGCTGAGCAGCCAAATGAAGACTCTGCCGAGGTGGATCCCGCAAGCGCTGATGGTGCCCCACTCCCGACATCAGCTGAGGTCGTAGCTGCCTTGGCCTTTGTGCGCCGCCACTGCGGCGCGATTGTAGGCAGGCCTATCACTTATGGATCGCCTGGACTATATTGAAGACGCAGTCGTCAAACACGCCATGGCCAACAAAAAGTAGGCTACTCTTTTTCAATATTTTAAACCAACACAATAAATACTATGTTTGAATCTTCAAGTGAGTATTTACATTCTTTTCTGCAGCACTTGAACTACAGGCTAAAGCTTTTTTTTTTCTTAACTTTGGTAGAATTGTAATTATATGACAAATACCGGCTAATTACTGAAAGCTTATTTTTACCTTGCAAGTTTAAAAATTATTTCTGATTAAAGAAATAACCGTTTTGACATCTGGTTTGCTTTAGCCTCTGGGATGAACCTTTTAAAAGAAACATGGAGTTTTGAAAACTAACTTTTTAAATTGCGAGTGACCATAATGACCCATAAGAAATTATCTAGTTATAATGTGAAAATTCTTTTTTTTGATGGCATATTTTAAATATGTTTACAGATTTGAAATCTCCATTCAATGATACACATGCATGGTAGTTTTCACAGGCAGTAGGATAATAAATAAAAAATCTTTTTTTTGAGACCCTTGTCCCCCCTTAATGAATGACAAATGTGTATTCGTGAAGGTGATGATCACTAAAAAAGCAGTAGTTTGCTGGGAAAAATGCAAAGAAGGGCGAAAAAACACAAGTTACTGGGAAATTGTAGAAGAGACTCCACGAAAAAAGAAGCCCATATCCACTTATTACAAGTGGAACTGGCAACTCTGAGTCAGAGGTAGAATATTTCGGGTATGCACAAAAAGAAGCAACTCCTTGTAAAGTGACCCCTTTTCAAGTTTGCAGTTGGATCTGTATGCTTATAATTGCCTTCTTTGCCTCGTTTTATTTTTATTTAAGCAACAACGAAAATTATCCATGACTGAAGTGTTCCTTTGCACATGTCGTAAAACAAGCTACAGTCTATTCCCATTATAATGAAGTCCGCTACAACGAAATTCCCACCACAACTAATAATTTTCAATTCCCTGTCAGCCATCCATAGAAAACTATGTAACAACCATAGAGTTTCTCACAAAGTTACCTAGAGGGAAATCCGACGCTAGTGAGCTGCTGGATGCAAAGGAATGCCGAGATATATGAGCTTCAAACATGACTTGGATTTGTATACCTCGAAGACTTGTCTGGCTTCACGTTAAAATGGTTGACTTCTTACTAAAAGAACACGTAATAAGCTATTTATTTCTTGTCATTGCACAGAAATGCGTTTTATTTAACACTACAACCTTCTGCGTCGATGTACAATTTTACGAAGCGTAAGAAGTAACCAACGGCAACTAAACTTGGCAGAAAGACGACAAAGTGAGCGTTCCCTCCACGCTTTATATCGTCTGTTTCTTTCTTTCGCCGTTTGGTTGTGCCATCAAGGTGAGTGGACTTTTATTTTAGAATATAATATCGTTGAATGGGATCCACTTGTTTTAGAGAATCTTTATTCACGCATTCGTATTTGCTTTTTACCCGAAGCCTTGCTCAACACTAGCCTACAAAGCCTCGCAGACACATTTCCAGCACTCCAACGAGGGGCCCCTTAAGAAATTCACATAGACAGTGGCGCGACATTTTCCTATAGTTATTTTTGTGAGAAACTATATGGTGAAAACTGTTTTGTCACAACGAATACTTTTTCTGGATACTTCTACTTCAAAGAAATTTCGTGAGTATTACTCCATAAAGAAAAGGAACTTGCCTGGGATTGCCACGAAATTCTGCTACCAACTCGGCCATTTCTCGATGGCTCATGACATCCAAAGCGTACGGCCACATCACGGCCATCGTGTCTTCATTGAAGGCATGCTTTCTGCCACCACACGCACATCCCGCTAAATTTATGGCCATTGAGATGCTCGGCAACAGATCGCCCATCCATACCTTGATGCTGGTGGGGGGTGTGATGCAGGTGGAGGCCGTGGCGGAATCGCGATCTTCAAGAACTCCTGCCATTTGTTTTTGACGTCGCTCTCAAAACAAAACTACTGCTCATCGTCTCTAGCTCTGCAATCGTGAATGACAACCACGGCATCATGAAGGCGCACACGCAAGCAGCGCGCACCTAATCACAATGTAACTACATTCTGCCGCGACCTGCTGCGAACAGAAATTCTGTCGTGTCGAACCCGATCATGGGCCGACCATGAAATATGTGCAGCCAGGCGTGCACTGACACAACCCAATATTTCTTCCATAACAATTCGAACAAAGATAGCAACGATGCAGTTCGTCATGTGCGCGGCCAGCACAGCACGCACAGATTAAAAACAGAACTACTGTTTGCTGCAAACTCTGCACAAGAAACCGTGGTCACTATCGTCGTGTTGAGCGATAGCGAATACAATCATGAAGGTGTAAAGCTACCACAGCCATAGATTAAAGGTAATAAAGTCATAAAACGACACGAAGCCTTACGACTTTCCTGTCATTCGCTTATGGTCCACGGTATTGTGGAGCTTCGGCACTTTCAGTTGAAGTTTTGCATTTGGTTTTAGTGAACCTTTGGCATGCTCGTTCGTAGGAGCTGCACACTTTAAATGCCCCAAGGAGTCGTCTGAATATTGCATTTGCTTCTGTATAACCCATTCCTGCATCTAACGGGTCCCTGACTGCAAACTGTGGGAGGCCGAATAAGCCATCTTCCTTGATTTGCTTAGAGGCTGTGTTGTGAAGCCAACTCGTGCACCGAAAATTGCAGCTATAATTTGCACTCGGACTTTATCTGCCAATTTCTGTATATTTTGATTGCGTAATACACAAGTAAAACACATTCACACGTGTGTGCGACCAGGTATGCCTGAGTTAGCGAGAGCACTTGCTGGGACCTAAGGACAAGTCACGATCATCAGATCTTATGAAATTCTGTGGTGTATAGATGAAATTTTGGTACAAAAAGTTATTTCAGGCGTCCCATCAATTTTGTTGTAGAGAGATTTGACTGTATGTCATAAGTCGGGGAGTCTTTTCTTTTTGATATGTTATCTATAAATTAATGGTTGTTTTGCTTGTATCTATTAAGCTGTCTCATGTTTTTCACTCTAAATTTTTCAGCTAATGTAGATGTCTGCTCCTTTGGCAGTCAAAATATCTCCTAACAAAGCAGGCATCTCGCATAAGAATGCAGTAGACTCTCAATAAATAGAAAATAAAGGGAACAAAAAAGTATGTTCTGTTGAACAGCTGTTTCATTTACTGAGAGTTGAACAGGGGTGCAGAGTTCAGATTCAAAATAAGCCCCATCAGAGCTGGTTGTTTCATTCAAGCAGCGTTTTCATTTGATTTTCATTTAATGGGAGTCTACTGTAGTTCTGTTGTAAATGTATATATTCATTACTCTGTAAAAGTGGTAAAACAGTCCTTGCTTGCTTCGTTAGATTCATTGTATCTAGAGTTACCTGTACAGGGTAAGTAAAAAATCTTTTCATCAGACAGTTTTTTGTCTGATTTGAATGTAGTTTCTTGCATTCAAAAGGGGAAAGCTTGAGTTTCTGTTGACTGTATAGTAGCGAGCAGAATTTCGACATAAGGGTTTATAGGGCATTGCGGCTCGTCTGACACTTCTGTTTTGCGGCGCAGTGTCTGTTGATGACCGGCTGTGGGCGGTCGCTGCTGATGGCTCGGCGCTGCAGCTGTCCACCTTTGAGCTGCCATCGCGCATCAGTGAAATGGACACGTTAGGCCTCGCCGCATCTGCTGAAAAGACCGACGCTGACATGGACGGATGGGAGCTCGTCTGATGTATTTCACCTAGACTACCGTACTTCTTTTTCGGGCATTTCCACAACTCCGTCCGTCTTGCACAGACATAATCATTCCGCTCAGTTTTCTTTTGTTTTTACTTTCTTTCTCTTTACACACTTTTCAGAGCTGGCATTACCATTAGTGGCATTAAACACACAATGCTCTTTAGTCGATGCTGATGCTATAGCGTGTACAAGTGTGATGATGTACAGTGGCCGTCAAATGTTTGCAGGAGCGAGGTTTTGCGAGACTGCCAAATTTAATTCCTGGCTTAGCGTGCAGCAGGTAAAATGCTGGTGCACATAGTAAATCTTCAATTATATGTTGCATGCCTTGGGCTCCGGAAATATTCGGGTTCTTCGCGGATCCTACGCCTCAAGAGCATTTGACGAGCAACTGCAGTACGTATTTGCGTTGAAGCATGTGAACGTATACGCTTTGCGTAAGCCTTACAACGTTAATCTGGCACTATAAGTTGGCTTCTCATATGTGGGCCGTGTATATATATTCTGCAAGATTCCCACTTGAGGAGCTTTGTCATGCCTTAATGCAGGTGTTTATGAGAAGTATACGAATAGGTTAACTGATCGTGTTTACAAAAGCATGTTGTTATGTAGGCCTAAGAGATGCATGTTTTACACTTACGTACATGTCTTTACGTCTGCCCAGCATTATGGTTGTTGTGCATATTTTTGCGAATGCTTTTCACAGCTTTACCTATGTTCCTTGAGCATTTCCAGGTGGCATCTTATATATGGCACACTTATTTATTTTCTTGTTAAGCACTGGCATCAGGACAAAGGTGTGGTTGTGGACTTGTAACACCGAAATGTGTTGTCTTGTTTTTGCTTGCACTGCTTTCATTGCTGGCTCTTTGAAGTGCACCTTTATTTGTGCTACGTTTAAACGCAAGAGTTAGGAACAACTCAAGTGAATTTTGCGTGTTGAAATGCTAAGTGAATGTTGAGTACCTATACAGCTCACCGTTTACGCAAACATTCGTGTGGAATGTTCGGATGATGAAATGATGAAGGCGATGCAATAACATTCGTTGCTGATTGAAGAAGGCCAGCGAGCTATTTCACATCCTTCTTTGCTTTACACCTCAAAGTATTAAGTTGAAGAAACTTATGAATGCATGCTCATCAGTGTGTATTGGGAATGAAAATGTTCTCCCTGGTGAAATAACTTTATTGAAAACCTTGGCGGGACAATCTTTTATAAAGCAATGTATTGATTAAGGAGGCAAAGTATTCAGTATACAAATACTTTAGTGTAGTAACCATTTTATATAAATCACAAAGAAAATTATGCGTCTGTAAGTGTTTGATACAAATAAAAGTGTACTGCCTAGTGTAATAACTTTTATAAAAAAATCGTCGCATGAAGCTAAAGTGTATGCTTGGTCGTGTTGGTACGACATAGTTGAAAAAGCAAACAGCCCGAAAAACGAGAGACCAGACAAAGAAGTGCTCTGTAATGTGTACTTCTTCGTCTGGTCTCTTGTTTTTCATGCTGTTTGTTTTTTCAACTTCACATGAAGTTCTTTAGGTGGTGTGATGAGCTGAAGAAAGGGAAAAGTGGCTTTATTGATAATGTAACCCTGTTACACAAAATACAAGTGCCTGCAGTTTTTATGTGCATTTCGTTGAACAGGAGTTGTTGCACTTTGATAAAGAAACATTTCATGTCAAACAGCACACTGTATAGTTTGTGTTTATCAAACCTCATCAGGTGAATTTCTCGGAATCCTCTTGATGTGTACTAGGGTATGTCACAGGTACCAAAAAAAAAAGTGCAGTTTCTATAGTACTCTAAAGTGAGCTCAGACATGATTTGCAGTCGCAGTGGTTTAAGTTACAAACTTCAAAGACTTGTTCATTATATGGACACCATTATATCAAGGACTAGTTAATTATATGTACATGGGAAGTAGCAGTGTCACATAAAAACAAACACTTACCTGTGTTACATGATCACTGATAGTTCTTAAGGAACATATATGGCTTTGAATTATTATGCAAACCGATGTGTACTGAAAGCCAGACAGTGTGGAAGTGCATTCTTTAATTTGGTGCTTATTGCATGCCTCATTATTATAATGTAACGAAAAATTGTTTCATAGTTTGGCTTCACAAACTTAAAGGGGTCCTGAAACACTTTTTTGAGCAACCATGGAATTAATTCAATGTAAAAGCGTATTGCCTCACAAATTAAACGCCGCGAAAATGTAAGAATCTGTCCAGTACGAGCGGAGTTATAAAGATTTGTCACACGCTGCAATCGCATTTTCTTTTTTCTCGTCCCGAAGAAAGCGGTGGAAGCTAAGCAAGAATAGATGGGAGGGGCAAACAAAAAAAGTCACTCGCGCCTCGTGACCTTGAGTGCTTTTTTCTTTTTTTTCTTCAAATACGTGACTTTTCAGTGCGATTACGTGTGCACGCATGGACAAGTGACAGCCTTTTGCGGCGACCTTTGTAACAACTGAACGTGCCATGTTCAAATCAGCCAGTGACTGATGGATGTGCTTACTACGTGATTTTTCGTCTTATTCCGTGATTTGTCAAAAAAAAACAGAAAGCTATCTTTAGCTGACTTTGATAATTTATTGTGAATTCCATGCCGCAGGCTGCGCTATAATATTTGGCTCACGTGTTGTCTGGAGCCTCTACAACCGGTCGGCAGCATTTTCTGACCATGCTTAAAAAGTGTTCCAGGGCCCCTTTAAGCCGCAGTAATATAGGCTGCAGTTTTTTCGCACGACTGCGTCGTTCATGTAGTTTCCGCTACATATTGCATGTACTTGCACAGATAAAGGGTGCATCTTTAGTTGGAAACCCAATGATGCAAAAAAGTTTAAGCAGTCCAATTTCGTATTAACTGTACTAGCAATACCATGAGAGTGTTTCGTATCTCGAATGCATTTAGGCTAGGGTGGCACCTGTTACTTTCGGTAAACAGACAAACATTTGATGAATACGGAAGACAGTGTTCTGTGTTTAGTGAGAGAAATATTGTTGCAGACCTTTGTCACTTTGCAGTGTAATGCTCCCTATGATACATTTTTAGGCCTGCACAATGTTACTTCCTCAATGTTTACTGGTAAGTTAGATCACAAAGAGATGTTGCAGGGATTGCTGTAGGAATGTAGCATAAAGTTTTGTAGTATTTTTAATACCATTGTAGATATGATTAGCCATTAATATGTATGAATCATATTTACTATCCTAGCATTGTAAAGAAAAAGAAAGCATAGCATCTAGTTGCCTTAGAACAGTAAGATTGTTAATATAGAATCATGTCTTGATATAAGGAGCATAGATATAGCAAATGATTTCATATAACAAACATGGAAATGAAGTTTGGGCTGTAAAGAATTGGTTTTCTTGTCGAATATGATTGTCTACTACAAAACTTGGCCATATTAGCCATTGTATGACTGCTGCTAACTTGTAGATTCTTGAAACTCGAGGTAGGCTGTGAAGTTTACTCCTGTAGTTTTGCTACTGCTCCTTAAAAACATCAAATCGCAACCTTCCGTCTCCTCTTGTGCGTCGACTCTATTTCGATAGCCATTATTGTGATAGCAAAGCAGCGCTTTTGCTTCGAATGAAGCGTTGGCTCAGAGTTGAAGTATGCAGTTAGAGATATTCTGTGCACAGTCACTCGCTTTCTTTGTCATTCTCGTAAATGTACGAGCTACACCGACGTGTGCTGAAGCATAGGGATACTCAAAACTTGATATACTGAATCTGGTTATAACTAAGTATCAGTTATGATGCAGTAAATAAAGAGTAGTCTTGCAATAGATAGTGCTAGGAATATGCCTTTATATAACAAATTTTAGACATAACAAACTTATTTTTGTGTTAGATGCAACGTTGTTATAATGAGGTTTGACTTTTTCAAAAACAAAAGTTGCATTTGCAAGATCTCCATTGTATGTTAACGATGTATGGTGAAGTTTTTCTTCTTTTTTTAGTGTAACAACCTGGCTGTTGCATCCCAGTAATGTATATTGCACAACCTTTGTTGAATGCACAAAATAAGCTGTGTTTGAACTGCGAGTTGTTTGTATTGAGTGAGAAGAAGTGGGTTTCTCTTCTTTGAATAGTAAACTAAGGAACACAAATTTTTATTGCTTAAGGGAGACAAGGATATTAAAGGGGGTAAAAAAGTGTGCGTGTTGCTTTTAATGTGTGCATCACCATTTGCAATTAAAGTAATTGGGGCTTGTATAAAGGCAAATCTTGTGAAAAGTTATGGCACCTCTTGATTGGCTTACGTTGACTGCGCTATGGCTACTCGTACATTGTGAAACAATGCCAAAAAAGACAGGACACTAGAGATTGAGAGAAACGAGTGTTGACTAACAACTACCACGAACTGGCCCAGCTAATCACGCTTTGGCTAATTGTAGTTTGTTGACCAGGCATGGTCGGTCTCAAATTTTCTCTGTCAATGGTTTCACAAAAAGGACAGAATATCTGCACAGTCCTGGCAATCAGTTTTAGTCAGTGGAACACAGCATTAGCAGCCACATGGTATTCAGCCATGATTGAATTTCAAAGTGATTTAATGTGAATTCTTCTACATGAATACTGCTTTTCAATGTGCTAGAAGTATTTCAATTATATCCAAACGCCAAGTACATTCTAGCAATAGCCATAGCAACATTGCATTCTTGTTGTCATGGTTTCTGTCATGGTTTCTTTTTATGTTCATCATCCGTCACTATGATGTACCGACAGGTGCAATCATCTGCTGTTGTGAGCTCAAGTGAGCACAAGATGGTTGGTAATTGAAGGGAAAGTTTTTTTCTAGAGCGAACTGCTTTACCAGACTTGTGGCGTACGGGTTTTAAAGCAGGCCACATTGTTGGGTCACTCTGCTCGTCTTTTGTGAATGTCTCTATCACTGTTTAGGAACTATAATTAAGTGAAGCACTGCGTGCATTGAAAAGTCACTTTAAAATAACATGTGTACACTTTGTTCCATAGTACTCATCTATGATTTGAAAAGTGGCAATGCATAGCGGAATGCCAAGTATCTTGCCTTTATTTTGTGGCACGTTGCCACCGAATTGTCGTTTGAGGCCTAATGGCCATCACTGCAAACAACAAAATTACCAGAATTCTCTTTGCCTAACTATCTCACCAACACGAGCTGTGTTGCTTGATGTAAGCAGTTATTCTTAATTTGCAATTCTTCAACCAAACCGAAATTGCATTCTTGTGTTTTGGAAATGTGCCATTATTTAGCTTGTATCACTACACTCTGTTTATGACCTGTACATCCAGTGAACTGTAAAGGGGGTTTGTTTTCGTTGTAAACATATTTGAGATTATAGAACGAAACAGTGGAGAGGTAATGTATGCAATACTGGTGTTGCTACTATGCATATGGTGTTGTTTCTCCTGTAGGCTCTGAGATCATTCTTTCTACCTCTAGGATGGCTGCGTCTGGTAGCGACAGATATCAGCATATGTTAACTTGTCCATGTTCTTCTGTGCGAGTGTGATGTAACACAACAATCTTCATATTGCACCGTGTTTCAAACACAACATCACTGTTTGGCACTGCCATGTGTGCTACTGTTGTCGATGTCTTTGTTGTTCTGATGTTTCATCAATAATGTAGTGATTGGAGCTTTTAAATGCCACTATGCGTAAACAATAATAATAACATTAGAAAGTAACTGTTAATGTCCATAAATTTAGTCTGGCACGGCTGCAGGTGCAGAGCAAAGCCCCAGAATACTATTTATTACGCGTGTTATATATGGGACTAAATGGCTTTTTGTAGCTATTATAACACCACTAATGCCCTCTGGCTTCGACCATGATGTGGCTTGTGCATGAAATCACGCAAACTCTTTTAGGAGTTTTAAGTCAGCTGATGTAAAACACTTGTCTGTACACTAGCTCAGCTTGGGCCACTTGTAACAGTTAACAGCGAGAGTTTTCTTGTCACTTGCTACTTGACGGCGTTGGGCTTTGTTGGGAAGTTGCGTCTTAGGGCAACCTCCACTCCTCCGCAGTTTGGAGGGGTGCATATTATACATATGGAAAATACAGCAAAGCAGTGCACTTCGCTTTGCTATGTCAAATGTGTGCGAGTTATCTTCGAGCTGCCAATCTCGTAGTGCGAGGTTGCCTGGGTTACCGTAAGTGGCATTGTCACTGACATCAGTATTCACTTTTTGTCTGCCAGCATCTTTCGAAACCTATGTAATAAACTTGCATGTAGTCGTATTCTAGGTCACCAATTAATAAGAAAAGCTTAGTAAACTATTTTCAACATTTATATGGATCCAGAATACGCATAATCATGTGGCAAATGTTATGCAATACAGCCCGCCTGCAAGCAGTGTGCACATA